TGATGGGCTGAGGCCAATTGGTTCAACAAGGCCAAGTGACAGGTCCTGCACCTGGGTCGCAACAACCGCATGCGGTGCTGCAGGCTGTTGGAAGAATGGCTGGAAAACTGGCTGACAGTAAAATACATGGGGATGTTGGTTGACAGCCAGCTGAAAGTAAGCCAGCAGTGTGTCCAGCTTGCCAATAAGGCCAATGGCATCCTGACCTGTATCAACAATAGTGGGGCCAGCAAGACTAGAGAAGAGATTGTCCTTCTATACTTGGCATTGCTGAGGCCATACCTTGAAACCTCTGTTCAGTTTTGGGCCCCTCAGTTCAAGAAAGTCATTGAGGTACTGGAGTGTATCCAGAAAAGAGAGACAGAGCTGGTCAGGGGTCTGGACCACAAATCTTATGAATGGCTGAGGAAGCTGGTGTTTAGCTTTTAGAAGAGGAGGCTCAAAGTAGGACCTTATTCCTCTCTACAACTACCTGAAAGGAGGTTGCAGTGAGGCAGGTGCTGGTCTCACAGATATCAAGCAATAAGACAGGAGGGAACAGACTCAAGCTGTTTAGGGGAGGTTTTGATTGGATATTGTGAAAAATTTCTTCACCAAAAGGGTTGTCAAGCCCTGGAGCTGGCCGCCCAGGTAAATGGTTTAGTCACCAGCTCTGAAGGTATTGAAAAGATTTTCAAATGTGTAGGGATACAGCTTAGTGTGACTTGGCAGTTCTATATCAATAGTCAGACTCAATAATCTTAAAGGTCATTCCCAACCTAAATGATTCTGTGATTGTGTGGTAGATCCAAAAAATGGGTGTGCAACCACTGCAAGCTAGTTCCTTTATTTATGGAGTGGCTCCAATGCTCATTTGTAGGGGCTTGTACACTCTGTTTAGAGCATGCATACACTAACACAACAAAATGGAAATCAGATCATGCTCCATGATCTGGGACATGTAGATCTGAACACCAGAACTGCTCAGGGAGGTACCTAACTGTGGTGGCCTTTAAATATTTGTCACTGAGGTCAGAACCAAGGGATTCTTTAACACTAGTCCTGCTGATAAGGCTTTATGATTTGAGCAAAATCATTTTCTTCCTAGACATCAGTTGCATTGTCTGATGGCTCTGGTTAATCACAAGGGAAATAGTGAAAGTGTACAAAAATTTGGGATCTTTAATCCAGCCAGCATTGGTTTAGCTTTCAGAAGATATGTATAAAGAGAAGATAAATATGTGGATAACTGGCCTGGATTGCATGTCTGTACCTTTATTTCCTCATATGGAAAGTGGAGAAAAAAGACACTGATGATTTTCCTAAAGCAATTATAAGATTTGTTACCAAAAAAATGCAAGTATAACAGGAAGATCATTAATGACAGTTGAAACAGAATTTTAGGTAGGAAATGGTGTGATGATTCAGGCTGATTATCATTATTGCTTTATAAACTCATTTGAGCTATGTGATTTGTTTTGAGAATCAAAACAAACTGGGAAAGGAATATGCAACAAAGGCTGATGTGAATATAATTTCTAGGAAAGCTGATTCAAGAAGGAGCAGGGTAGCTCCAGATTCTAGAAAAGGGACCATCAGGAAAAAATCTGCAAGTAAACTATTAGTGCCTGAAAGCACCAGTCTCTGTATATTCATTTTCATGTTGGGTTGGACACCAAATCTTTAACACTTTCCTCAGTCAGGCTGCAGGCTGGAGCCCCCTGGGCTGATGTGTCCCAAGCACCAGGACAAACTCTGGAAGAGCCAGCCAAAAGCTTATATCTGCTGAGGTGCAGCAAGCCCCTTAAAGGGGATTTGGAGATGCAGCTCCTTCTTTATCCAGAGTAGCACTGGATAGATTTTTGTAAAAGGTTTTGAAGTCTGACTGTGCCAGACCCTTGTGTCTGATGATTATGTTTTTTTAAGTTAGACCTCTGAGTTTGTAACAATGGAATTATCTATTTTTCAGGACAATTAACACAATGCTTTTGTATGAGCTGAAGGTCAGAGGATTAATGTGGTTTTATCTACAAAGCATTTTTAAAAGCTAATTAAGAATCATTCCGTTTGCTCTGTACTAAAGACAGAACATTTCATATTAGATGACTCTTGATCCTCTGCAGCAGCAGAGAGGAGGGAGAAAGAGAGAGAGAGAGAAATAGAAGGAGAGAGAATTGGAGAAAGAGTGAGCTGGCATGCAAATAAATATATCACAGGGATGCAGTTAACAAAGAGCAATAAAAAACCTCAATTCTGGTAGCAGTAGAGATAAAATTGTCTCTTGGACCAAAGGACCAATCTAAAATATTAATCTGAAAATATATTCAGTATTTGCAATTACAAGCATTCCTTGTTAGAGCAAGAGAGATGGAGAAGAATATAGAGAGGTGCTTCTCTGAGAACATTATTTTAGAGATGTTTTTATCACTCAGTGCTTTCAGAGCACCTCTTCCTCTCTCTCTCTCTCTTGAGCCTGACAGCTTGTACATATCACCATTCCTCTATAGGGGAATGCCTGTTTAACAGGCCTCCAGCCAGACATGAGTCTTCTGGGAGAAAGTATGCAAGGGTGTGGAGCAGTGGTGGGACTTGGGTGCCAGGAGGACCTCAGAGCAAAAGGGGCTGCTCCACTGCTGTGGGGATGCGTGTGGGCGGCAGTGAGAAGGCAGCTTGCCCTGAAAACACCTCGGCTTCATGGATTGCAAAGGTCAGGGGAAGCAAAACACAACACAAACCAGAGACATTCAGAGGCAGTCCAGGAGTTTGAAAATCAGGGTGAGGAGTTTACTTTCAATGCAATGGCCTCTGCCTAGCCTTTTAAAGGGAAAAGGTAAGAAAACTGGAAACTGTTCTTTGTTTTTGGATGCTTATGTATTCTTCTGATTCAAGTGCTCAGAGGTTGATTTTCTGTGTCTGTCCAAATTATGTAAAGACATCAAGGCACCTCATTCCAAAACTGGGCTGTGCACTACTATTCTGTTGATCAAATATGGCAATTATTTCAGGCTTAAAACACATTAGGGATAACAGTGGGTGCTGCCAAAGGTAGAAGTGCACATGCATTCAAAGAACAAGCTGAAAGAGGATCAACGGCAACATATGTGACTGGAATATATTATGAATTGCCATCCTCTTAGACAAAGGCTAGCAAACTCCAAAAATGTAGCAACCTACAGAGCTAATAAAAGGGATAGGAATGTGCAGATATCTTGGTTTGTCTAATTTGTGCCTTTCTAGCATTGGTAGGATGACTCACTGGATTTAGCAACTGCTTGTAAAGATGAACATATTAATAACTTTATGCTGCAGCTCTGCCATAAAATGTAATCTTTTATAATTCTGTATTCTCAAGTGAAATACAAGCTTAGAACCAGAATAAAATTATGAAAGATATTTGAATTGTTAGCTTATGTTTTTTTTTAAACCTGTGTTTATACATTAAAATATGCAACTTAACTAGGAAAAGAATATCCTCTTTCATCCCTATCCCTTCCCCAGTGTGTACAGTTCCCTACTATAAAAGACAAATTTAAATATGGGTTACAAAGATAGCTGTCCCCAGTAATATGTGCATTTTTATATTTTCCCAAACATAAATTATTATTTTTCTTCCCATCCATAAACACTTGAATAAGAAAATTTATGCAGTCCACATATGATTCAGTGGCAAATAAACCAGTTGTTTATTGAAATTTGCATATGTAAATCACAATATTAATAAACTATGGGATATAGATCCTTTCAGCTTTTGATAACATCCAACAGATTTAAATAATTAGAAAAGAGAGCACAAGGCTTGCCTTGAGGACATAGTAAATATAGCCATGAATACTTACATCCTATTTTGAGCCCTTCTCCAGGCATTGCACTGATCTACAGAAAGGTTAATCTGAGTACTTGAGGGCTTGTAGAATGTTATATAGAAAGTGACAGACAAAGCATCAATTGGAATCGGTGTTTCTAGGTATTCAGATAGCGACCAAGCACTAGACTGAGCATTTTTTTTCTCCTTGATTTTAATGAGACGCGTTGTGTCACTTACTTGAGACACTTTTGCATTCGTGCATTAAATATATTTGCAGATTTACTGAAGTAACAAGGAATAAAAATACAGCATTTTAGTGTAGACAAGACCCAAATTGCTAATTTCTAATCTTACTGAAATATTTATATTTTTATGCATTAAACAATCAGTTAGGTTTAGGATATTCACTAAATTAAACTTTTAAAAAATTATTTTATGGGAATGAGAAAAAATTCAGAAAATAACCATCTATTTTCTCCCATACTTAGTGGTTTTATATGATAATATTTCCATTTATTACTTAAAATTTTCTTATTTATAAAATAATTAATGGAAAAATATATACTTTCCATTCAGTCTTTGCCATGTAGCTTTTGAAATTAGTTATGTTCTTGATAGATTTAGTGTATGAGGCAAGGCAGTGTTTGTAATTTATTTGTAAATGTATTTATATTTACAAATTTATTATATTTGTAAAAGTCCCAAGATCACAGAACAGAAAATTACATGCATTATATATACAGATTTGTATAATAATAGAATATAATAAATATAATAAGTAAAATATAATAAAATAAAATAAAATAATTAATGTAATGTAATATAATATAATATAATATAATATAATATAATATAATATAATATAATGTAATGTAATGTAATGTAATGTAATGTAATATAATATAATATAATATAATATAATATAATGTAATGTAATGTAATGTAATATAATATAATATAATATAATATAATATAATATAATATAATGTAATATAATGTAATGTAATGTAATGTAATGTAATGTAATATAATGTAATGTAATGTAATATATATGCACTGTGATACATCTGTATCTATCTATCTATCTATAGCTCCACTTGGATTCTTGAATGATAGTGAACTACATACACCCTTATCTCAAATGCTTAAAACTTGAAAGTGATTACACTAAATAGTCAGATATCATTGCAGAGAAAGTCAGTGTTAATTTTCTTACCTGCTTTTTTAATTTCAGGGACAGCTATCTTCTCGTGTGCTTTCTCCTTTTTTCCTGTTTTTTCTAAGATTTAATTAAAGAGAGTGATTTGATATGATAGAACTCTGAATCATACACTCAAATATGCAGTCAACCAAGTCCTGGCGGGCACATACTGAAAAAAATATGCCTTATATGGGAGTTCAGATTATTTCTTTATAGCACTTGCACCCAACTGGCCACAGAGCAATCAGCTGAAAATGAAAATTAATCAGTATACATCAACTATGGATGATTTGGACCCTTAATAATTAATCAAAAGTTAGGCAAAAATCATCAGTGCATGAATGTGGCAGATTTTAGCTTAAGTTCCAGTAGCAATGAGATCATAAAAAAATAATGAATGACTTAAATATTTCGCATGAAGCAACACCTTAGTGGATTTTAGGTGCTTTCTGAGAATGTATTATTGGAATATTATTTAGATGGATATCATGACTTTGCAGTTTGGTCACATTAAGTTTTAATTGTGATTCTATAAAATAAATAGATCTACCCCACCTTCAGAAACTGATGTACCATGAATTGAGCACTATCTTCCCTGAGTTTTGTGTATTGCAGTATAACTATGTTCTATTATATATGGACTCCATTAAATTGTTTAAAAATCCCATAGATGGCCACCAAACAGGACATTTTATTTGTCAGAAAATGAGTTTAAGTAATATTGGATGCTGAACACATTGAATACCTTAGATATTTGATGCAGAAGAAGTGGAAACATGCAGATAGTGACTGAACAGCTAAGAGGACAATACAGCCAGAAGAATAGGATTAACCTAACAGAAAACAATGGGAAATGAAGCAGAAGTGTGAGTAAAAGCTGAGTGAGGCCAGTAAGAAATGTTTCCAAACCATACCTTTCATCTTAGTTTCAGCTGTAGTCTTCTTTTCATCACTCTTTTTCTTCTCTTTTATCTCTAAAAATAGAAATTGAAGTTCAGCTGGCTATTTTACACAGAAACAAACAACCATGTATGTATGTATGTATGTATGTATGTATGTATGTGTGCATGTATATATGTATGTATAAATGTATTTGGGATGGGGCATCCACTAACTGCAATATGTTCAAGATTTGATAAGCTGGTCACTTATTGCCAGCAGCTCAGAAGTACAGCTTAATACCCAGAGAGTGAATGTGGTGCTAAGGATAAATCTGGAACAAACATGCACACCAGATTATTCCTTAAATATTAATTCAAGGAACTATGCCCATTAACCTGGTGTAACTAAGGTGTAACTAAGAGTTTATTGTGGTGACTCTATAGCCATTCTCCTGCACTGCTTCTTTTTGGTTTCTTAAATTTCTGGTGCTAGGTGATGCATGAAAAGAATTTGTAAGCCCAATGTCTTACAACAAGATTCTCTTTAATCTGAGACCATTTCTATCTTTGAACTTGTAGCATTTTGCATGCCTCTGGGGCCCAGACAAAACCACATGAAATCTGCCTTAATTTGCATAGCAAGGTTCAGAGCTGTATGCATCTTGGAAACCACAAGCTGAGGCATTGAGCTTTGTGAAGTGAAGCTTCGTATGGAAGATGTACAGGAAGTGGCAGGAATGTTTACTGCAAATAACCTAAGCAATGATGATGGCATCCCTGACTGCAGAATATTCACTGCCAAATCATTCCACCAATTAATCCCATTAACAAAATTTTCTTCCATCAAGCTCTCAAGTTGCATTATTCAGTGTCCAGGCATCTCTGAGCTATCTATATTTGTTATGAAATTTCTGGGGGATGATTACATAGACTCATTAAAGGACTGTAGCCCCTATTTCCCAATTTCACTGCCTAATGCAAGATAAGCACTCTTGCTCAAGTCTGAGAAACACAGTCATTGAGCTTACATTCACATCTCATCTCCATCTAGCCCCAGTGGTGCTCCTCACAGCTACTAATGAAAGAAATTTCTGTAAATGAGAATGATAGACTTGGTGAATGGGTATTATGGAAAGAGTTATTTATGACTTAAGGAAGTAATCCCATTTCTTGAATAAATTTATTTCCTCTCAATTTGAACAGCTCACATTTAGAATGTCATATATTAAGTGTATATTTAACACTAGCAAAACTTGTTATTTCTGAAGCAGTAAATGTAGTGGGCTCTATGCAGATATGTACACAGCTAAATTAAGAGGCAGAGCAAATAATTAAATAGGAATTTAGGCAGGTCTTTTGCACTGTAAAATATGAACCCCATCTGTTAATTGAAAGCCCTTACTTTTTTAGCTAGGAATAGTTACAGAGCTACAAAGGGCCAACTGCATAAAGAGGGATCCTAATATGCACAAATTGTGGGTTACACAAGGAAACATAAAGTGATTTGGAAGATTTGACATAGACCACAATATGAAATTCAAATGCATTTATTGTAATTGCTACTCTTTCTTAATTAACAGGATTTTTTCACCAGTCCTGAGCCACATTTCATGGACAGGGTAAGACAAGTACAAAAAGACCTCACCTTTAAAAGCCTGCAATACATTTAGAAGAATGAAATAGGGATATATGCAGCCGGAAGATTACATGACAGAATCAGTCAGCAAGGCCAGTAATGGACTTTTCATTTAGTCAAGTTTTTTTCTGTTGAGTCTTATATTTAATGTAGCATAAGAAGTAGTCTAGTGAACATGAGTATTATGAATTAAAGCAGTGATGTGCTACTGAATGGGACATTCAGGTAAAAAATGAATTCCTTGGTGAAAAATAAAAAGAAGCCATATAGAATAATTTTCTTGCAAAGTGACTGGATTGAACAGAACAGACCTTGAAGCAAAGTAACCTCTGAGATGTAATTATTTATTTTTTAATAAGGGATGAAGGACCAAGGCCAGTAGAAATCCAAGTAAGATTCAGCAAATACCAAGAAATGGGGTGTTTCAATCTGAATTTCCTCCACGCATCTTGACAACACCTTTTCTTTGTGTTATTCTCTTAGGAGAGCTGCTAATTCTTGGACAATGGTGGGAGGGGAGATAACAGAAGCACGTTAACAATGTGGCCCTTGAAATCAGGCCTGGTAAGACCAGTGTGCTGCTCTGCCAGTGCTGAGTGGAATCTAAATTTAGGATGCACATGAGTTGCGGGGCATAGTGTCACAGGAATGCTGCACAGGAACTGGAGGAAGAAGGTGCTCTTAGAGCTTCGTTACCATACTGCTCCAGATGGTCCATGTTCTTATGGAAAGTCTGATTCTGGGAGGAATTGTCAGCTCATCCTATCCTGTCTGAGAAACTGAGGTAAGCAGGGAAGTAAAATATAGCCACAGATTCCTTCTGGTGGAGAGGTATGCATATAGCAAACACTAACTAGTGGGACTGAATGCCAGAAGTTTGGAGATATTTGGGTTCACATTAGCTTTCTAAAGTTCAGATCCTTATATGAGGCTTATCTGCATTTATCCTGACCCTCTTGTCAGGAAACCTCAGGAGGAAAGCTCCTGTGAGAGGCTTTGGATATTTCTTGCCTAACTGTGAAACACTACAACAACTTTTCTTGCCTACAGATTCTAGTCCTGGCAGAACTCAGGAGAAGCAGAGACACATGTATGCTCACTGACATACAAAATAAAACAAAACAAACATTAAATCAGCTTTTCCTGAGAAACCATAATTCAGATTGAACATAGTGACTTCATTTAGGATAAGACCTCATTTCATTTTTGTCCAAGAAGCTCAGTACACCTTAAGCTGTCATTGGCATAATTTTAAAATACCATTCAAGCAAAACACAAACTGCCTTTTACAATTTTTTTTCCTTATTAATTTTGAGGGGATTATAGTTCCTCTTTGTTTTACTTGGTGATTGAAATCCTTTCTCTGCTGGACTCAATAAAAGTTTTGCTGTTGATTTCAGTGAGAGTTGGATACCTTTTTAAATATTAGAATAAATCATTACATCTCAGTTTTTGATGATATTTCTTTTCATTCCGCTTGGCCTGTTGCTTAGGGTAGAGACTGACAATGACTGGTCAGTTGCACTTTTGGGTCTAAATAATTTAACATACAGTCACAAAAATAGGACCCCCTTGCCATAACGCAACTCCACACCCCCTAAGAGTTACAAAACTTTTATAAACAATGCAAGGAGATAGTTCTGTTTAGTTTAGTATGTAATGGAAACTCATACCTTTAAGATTAAATCTAAATTTCAGGTAAAAATTGACCTTAGCTGTCTCTTTGAAAAAGAATCATCTCTTTCTGGGGTAAGAGAGTCCTTGTTGGTCTGGTTACTTTCTCTATGAGAAATAATTCTGCCTTGATTCAGCCAAACTACTGAAAGGCCAAGAAAGATCAAAGAAATCTAAATAGTATTAATCTGAAGTTCCATAATTCTTAGCATTGCTTCTGTTCACACAGGAACACAAAGTGCATGCACACATGCACATATGTGCTCTCTCTAAATTACGGGTGAGTGCTTAGTACAAAATGAAGTGCATTTATTTGCAAAACTCTGTTTAAATGACACAACCACTTTTTTCTGCAGAAAAAGGAAATACAATTCCTTTTCATATTGAGCAAATGAAAGACTCTTGGGGCACACTGTCCACTGGAGATATAGAACATCCTGAAGGCCTAGGCAATCTCTCCAGCTCAACTCTGCTTTTTTGGAATCCACTTCAGTGTTTTCAAATCCCAATCTGAAACACTATTTGGAAGCTTGAAGATTACTTATGTAGGTATTTTTGAGGTCTACAGAATCTATGCAATAGAAATATCATGCTTGAAATTCCTAATGCTTTCATGTTACCTACATAAATGTTTCTTATTTCTTCCTGTAGTGATTGTAGACTCCTTTTTTATGGCTCTGTTTCATTAAGCACCAGAAGTCTTTGTTAATAGCATGGGCCATATGTTGCCCTCACTAAACAGCACAGTGTGGAGCAAAGGAATAAAACCACAAGAGAGATGAAGCCAGAGTAGGCACAGCAAGTCAAAAAAGAGGCCAGGACAACTTCCATAACAAGACCAGCAACAGAAACGCTACTGGACAATGGTCTATGGTAAATATGATGGAAATATGATTATGATGAATACTTAAATTCCCAGAGCAGCACTTATTTTTTTATGGTGCAACCCTGACTAGTGAGAGCCAAAACAACACAGCTAAAGTAGCTTGGCTAGCCTTCTACCACCTTGTGACTGACATTCCTACTGGACAACAGGAATGAATGTTAGAAACAATTCTGTTACTAGCGCTGGGAAGGGTTTTGCTGATACTTTTTATGCAGCATGCTTTTGGGCAAGCATGTGTGAGCTTTAATAATGGGATGATGAGGTTATGAAGGACCTCTTTGTAAGAGTTTCCATTTTCTTTCCAAAGAAACATGGAAGTTCTCCCTTTGAGAGCCCAGATTAACTTAATTCCAGTAAGTGCTTTCCATTTGCAGGTGCACCATATGCAAAAGACTACTGTTTTTATATAACTTTTAAAAAACACTATGAAAGTTAAAATAATGTTCTGAGGCATTTGTTTGTGTTTTATTGGGTAAACTTCGGTGTGTATTTATTTTCAAATGCATACTCAAACATTTTAAATTGTATTATTATAAATGATGAGAAAATATAATGAAATATCTAATCAAAATATATATATCCTTATACATATTTTTTCTAACACTAATAAGCTTTTTTCTCATGTCTGTTTAACTTTTCATAGTTTACAATAGAATAGAAGCAGTACACAAGAGCCTCATGTCATTAAGGAAAATGTCAAGGGCTTTCTGAAACAGTGAAATTTAGGTTTTTTTCATTTTTGCTAAATCATTAGAATTTACTGCTTAAATGTCTAATTTAAATCATTTAATAGTTAAGTTTGAAACCCTGTTCATATTATTTCAAAGATTTTACTCTCTTCAGTACAGACTCATGGAGATATAAGACCCATATTTCTCAAAAAACTTGTGCTGTTAATACAGCAATGCATTAAAGCTAACTAAACCACTCATCTGTTAACCTAGATTAAACCTAACCCATTGTACTATGATATTTCTAATATAAATATTTTTCTTTTTTTCTGTTTTTATTTGCCCATGGATTAAAATTTATCAGAAAAATGAAATTTCATCCACAATTCATGTCATTATTATTAAGAATATTCTAAATGGGGAGAAATTTTCAAAATTGTGCCTTTTTTAAGGTTCTGTTGTGTCTTGAATCATGATCTCTCACTAAAAGGATTTTTTTAAAGGTAATTGATTCTATAGTATAGAAGAAAAACAGTTTTTTTATAGAACAATCCATGTACAGAAGAGAAGGTAGACATTGACAGACTGTACAGAAGCAGATTGATTTGTACAAGATTTATACACTCCTGTTCATCATGGGAGCTTTGTCAAAATTTGTATTGACCAGTAATTTAGATATTCTTGGTTATATCCCCTAATGTTCATGAACAGAGATATAGGCTAGAAATTATTCTTAAGACTGTCACATAGTTTACATTCTGTATAGCAACACAGATGCAATTGCCAATTTAACCTCCACAGGAGTTTTGTGGGAAGTTAAACACATTTCACAGCAACTCGCTTTACTACATTCTGTAAAATTTGTAATTAGGGGATTCAATGACCTAGAGAAAATACTTTTTGTCCTCATAGATCCTCTGAAGATGTTATAGATTTCTTTTTCTCCTAACTTAATATCACAGATAACATCAAGATGACAAGGAATGGTGTACTTCAGTCAAGGAAGGGGGGATATTTCAGAGCTTGTAATGATTCATTAACAGATCAGAATGGTTATGTTGATGACTCTTCCATGATAAACTCTCTCCCACTCAAAGATAGAGGAACAGACTTTTAGGGCAATATAACTTGGAAAATCATTCTCAGATACAATGCTGTTCAAAAGTTTTCTGTCATAGAGTGCTCTTCAAAGTGGCAAAAAGCATAGGTCTGCTTGAGATCATATATCATATGCATTAAGGTTCTTTCCACCATGAGAAGGATTTTGATACATGCTTCTCAAAAAGATGCTGTGATTTTGTGAGAAGGCAAAGACATGCTGTTCTGGAACAATTCACATGAAGATTCACTGATAACTAGCTAAGCCTGGTTAATAGCAGATCTTAGTTTTTACACAAAGTTATCAAGTTATTAAGTTATTACATGTTATTAAGTTGCACTAAGTCTTTACACTTTGTCTAACTGCAGTCTTCCTGAGTGATTACCCTGGCATGGCAGAGAGGGAAACATGGGAGGACTATCAGAAAGGAAAGTCCTTTTCACGTGAATGTGGCAATGGAGGAAGGTAAAAGCTGTGTGAGCCAAACCAAAATTCAAGGCCTAAGAAGGAGAATCACAGAGAAGCAGTATACACTGCAGGGAAGTTTTGGTGATGTCAGTGAATAACAAAATAAAATAAATCTAGAGTTAAAAGTGGTGTGGCAGACTACAGCCAAGGAAGAAGAAGGATATTAAAGTCAAAGTTCAGATAGCCGTGGAGAACTGATCTGTTCAAATTACTGGTGGCACCAGTGTCCTGACATGGCAGCATGAGTGTCAGCCAAGCTGAGAACACTGCTTCCAAGTACTTGTGAAAGCTCCATAAAAAGATAAAGAATTTAAAATTAGTTCTTTAGTTCCTAGTTTACCAAACAAGGTTTCCAAACTTGAAATACAAGTAGATGTTATATATCAATGCCTTTATCTTCACAAATTACTTTACCTTCTTTCTCTTGTTCACTTTTGCAGGATCTTATATTTTGTTTTATTATTCTCTGCTGCTTGTGATCTGAAAATTCAAACTCTTCATTGAAGTTTTAAGGTAAGATCTTTGAAAAAGCCAACCAACCATGAAATAGGAAAGCAATGATCTGTTCTTTTCATTCTGACCAGATTAGTACAAAGTATTTTGCTTTTTGACCAGGAGATATCTGAAAATTTCAACTCATACACACACTTCAATGCACTTTACTGCTTACTACTAGAATCTAGTGTACAAATTGAGTCTATCTTAAATAATTACCCCTTTTCCAAAAGATTTACTGAGGAGCTGAGGTAAGACAAAAAGGCAATAACAATGGGAGAAAATGTGAGATTTAATATATAATAACAATATGCTCTTTTTCTATGGCCTCAAGACTTCAGGACATTGGATACTATGCAGGAAAAGCATTCCATTTGAAGATATCAAATACTCTAAAAACTTTAGAGGTATGTGGCACATATACACCACTATTTCACTACTACACTTATCAGAAAACAAGAATGGTCCAAGATTACCTAAGGCAGCAGGGGCAAAATAGAGTGATACTTAAAACCTGTCAATCTAGAAAAAGAGTAAGATCCTTTCAGCCTTCACCAGCTGCATCATTACGTGTATAATATCAGAATATCACTGAGTTGGAAAGCCTAGGGTGTAAGTAGATTGGTTTCATAAATTTTCTGTGTGATAAATGTTCTGTTACTTCCTACAGTTTTATCTTTTTTCAGAGCTGGTGTCTTCTGTCAAAGGCTAAGCCAGTCTTTGATGTTATATAAAGTATATTTTTCAATTAAAAATTGCTTCTGTCTGTTCTCTGTTCTGACAACTTATGATACTATTTCCAACTATATTTATAAAAAGAATCTTTTGTTTCAATCTGTCCCTTCTCCTGCTCAGTGATATTTAGTGATGTACCAGTCATAAAGGTATCTAAGCACTATGAAGTCACATGCAGATGTATCTTCAGCTATTTTAAAGATTTAAATTTGCCTGCCTACTTCTCTTTTTTCCCTTTTGACATTTTGCCAAATATTCTTATAAATTAAGTTCTTTTTTCCCCTCTAGGGCTGAAATAAAGTTTCAGGGTTTAGGGTTCCTCAAGGCACTGTGGCATATTTTCTCATATATGGAAAACACAGAATAGTACAACATAACAGCTTTTCATAATAATATTTTACAAGTAATTCTGCCTTCTTAATATCCTTCAAATCTCTTGCATGAAAAGTATTGTATTCTAGTGACTGGCCTTGAGCCTTAAAGGCAATTTAGTTATATGGTTCTGAGCAGATAATGTCCCTAAAATTTCTTTGCCAAATGGGTGTCTAATTTACTGTACCAATTACCTGAATTGTATGCATAAATGAGCTAATGAAACACACAAATATGTAACTGGTCATTAATAGTCATTTCTATGTGCAATTGCAGTAATTGCATGCTCCTCGTGATTTTGAAAATCAAGAATCTAATGTTAATTTGATGCTAGTTCATCCTGTGTAACAGTTATATTTAAAAATTAAGTTTATCTTTTAGCAAATGTGTCAGCCTTATTAATTTTTACTTTTTTCCTTTATGGTTAATTGATGGATAATGGAGTTTAACATTGCAGGGACTTGTTTCTGCTGATAAGCAGGGTTCAGACATTTTCCTAAAGTAAGCAAGAGTGCAAATCTATTTCTATACTGTCTCGAAATAACCACAATTTTATACTCCTTTAAACAGCATGTTTAAAAAGAAATAATCATTTGAGATATGAGATTTTTGGGAAAAGACATAATAAGTCTCATAATTATTTTTATCCAAATATTCTTATTAACAACATTCACATTACAGAAATATCTAATTAATGAAACACTTTGTTTCAGTCATGGGTCCTGACAAAACCTAAGTCTCATTTTCTGTTTTCAAATGCAGGAAATCTTGTAGCTCTTGTTACTTACTCTCTGCCACCCCATCTGTTCTTCACGTAGTCTGCAATTACTTTCTGGGTAACATATAACTAAAACCTCTATGAGAAATATTAGCAAGTGCCATGGCATGACTGAAGGACTCAAGTATCATATGAAAACTGCTACATAATTACACTAAAAGACTTAGATGTTTTGTACTATTAAATTGTATGGTGTAAAGACCAAGAACATATATTGCAGTTGTAGTTCTAAGTCATCAGACATAGTTAATTTTAAAATTAAAATGAGTATTTCAATCGCTTTACTGTAATGATCAGACTATAAACAATATAATTTAATTGTGAGGATTATGTTTTAATCTTCTGAACATAAAATCTGACTTTGTATTTGTCTTTCAGTGGTTTTAACAATGGAGTTGATAAATGCAGAGCCATAAATATTACATTAATTATTACAAGTAAGGCACAGAAAAATTACTGAATAACAATAGCTGAAAGAATTATCTAAAGTATATTAAGAGGATAATGTTGATTATGTTTATAGTTAGATAGCAAGTTATGGCTGAATGCCATTCAAAGCATTTTACATATTAGGCCTCAATCCCATAATCTGTTTCACTCAGGATATCCCCCAAGCCATCTGTGACACTACTATAAGGAACATTTAAGTTTTGTCATGCATATGTCACTGTGTCATTCCTGTCCCAGGCCTAGTAATGTGATAATTTTTGTAATATAGGTTATATTTACAAAAAAAAAAAAAAATGTAAAAACCCCTATTAGAACAAACAGTAAAGTTAATAAGTAGAAGCCAATAAAACTAGAAAATCTCAAACTTGCCTTCAATAGCTGCTGGTTTCTTTCTTGGACTGTGTTCTAGAAGAAGACGAGGTGGTGCGAATTCCTTATGTGCTGCACCTAAGAATACAGATTATAAAGCATAGAAAATATATTCACTAATAGGCTGGGCAGTTTCCCTGGGAGGCTGAGCTCCCTTCAAAATGGTTAATGTTAAAAATATTACAGTGTGCATAAAAGCTAGTATCTTTCAGACACCAGATGATGGAAATGTATTTCTCAAAAATAATTTATTTTCAAGAATCACATTTGAAACCAGTGAAGTCCAAATGACTCAAGCATATACTGAAATGCTGTAGTTCTGTTTTTCTTCCTTAGACTCAAAAGATAATAATAATACTATAATAACAAGGTGGCATACTCATGATGTCTTTTCTACAGCAAAATCTTATTTTCTTCTGTCAAACAAATGATCTTCAGTTGCTCCCTAAAGTCCACTTAATTAGCTCCTAGAAATACCAGTAAAAATTATGATGTTCCTCATCCTTAAGGCTTATTCTTAATTAGCCAATACCAACCAGGTCATGCATTGCAAACACTGATGAGGTTCCGATTCCAGCTGCTGACTGAAACACCTCTACTCTCTGAGTATTCAGATGGGACTTTCTGTACTGTCTTAGCCTATGTGCAGATATCTTGTTTTGTACAAAACACTTTTCATTTCTCCACAGATTCACAAGCATATTTAATATACTCTTATATTACTTATGCTTATTTTCTAGTTTATGACATATTTGCAATCTCCTTATTTCCTTTTATTTCATGGGCATTTAGTCTCAATAGCTATCCTTTCACTGTCATTTAGAAAGTGCATTTTTTTGTGACCTGAGAAATAAAATTAAGTAGTTAAATATAATATTGATTCAATCATATGCACCAGCATACATTCACTACACCAGAGTCCACATGCAAACAGACTGTTAAAGCTCAGCTGCAGCTTCACATCAGAAACTCAAAGCCATGCCTCATGCTTGATGATAGACTCAGAAAAGAAAGAAAGGTTTTAATGGGCCTTGGAAACTGCAGCATCTTACTACTTAGCCCTCTCATGCATGAGAAAAACATCACCTTGAAGGCAGGAGTGGGATTTGAGCATCGTGGAGTTAATGTTATTGTATCTCATCAACATATGTACAATTGAAGACACATAATTTGCAAGCATGTAATTCAGTTCATCCAGTAATTTGTATAAAATATTAAACATAGAGCTGTTCAAACTTGACATGTGCCTGAGTCACTGATGAAATGTTAACACATTGATAAAACCAATGTATTGAAGGTGCATTTTCCATGTATTTCCTGTCTTGGCAATAAACTCAAGTGGATATTTACCAATATTATCACATAATAACTATAGCTTTAAAATTAATGTTAGGCAAAATTCCAGAATCCAGATATTTAGCCGTGATTTTCCAAATGCTTTATGTCTGAAAAAAAAAAAAATCTTGAAGTTGCAAACTGAACTAATGAGTTGCTGATAACCTTTATTGGCAACCAGAATAGAAAAGTTATATTCATAACCATGTCAACACACAGAAACTGGAACAATTTAATTTCTAGTTCAGAATGAAAATAAAAAAACAACATAGCAATTAATTAAGAATGGGTAATCTTATTTGTCCTTCTACATTTGATCAAAGTCCTAGAATAAACATTATAGGATTTTTTCCCCTTTTTTATTCACTGATTTTTTTTCCCTTTCCAGAACTACATGTCATATTCCCCAGTTAGAAAAAGTGGTAATTTTTATAACTTGGACAAAAACTTTGTGTGAAAAAGGATAAAGGGCAGTGGCTCAGAATGTTGAGTAGATGAGTAATGATGAAGGATAGTCAATAATTTGGACTGCAGAGTGGTGTCTGCAGTGTGGGGCAATGATCTAACTCCTCTAGGTCAAATTGTAGGCTGGCCCCATTATCTCCCTGTGCTTTGCTGTGACAGCAGTTTTCTAATGATAGCACCAGCATGCACATAATGCCAGTATGATACCACTTATTGCTAATGACTTGTCAAGTTCTATTTTATAGCTTTACAAGTTTTAAGCAAATAATTTATTTCATGCAAATTGACCACATGATCTAATATGAGGAGTGTTTTAAGTTTAAGTTTCACAGATCAAAAACTTTCCCTTAGGCCAAAATGTTTGTTCTGAGCAGGTTCCTATCCACTCTGATAAAAGGCTTCTTTAATGTTTCCATGTCTTATTAAATGTCTCTCTATTCACTTTGATGGGAATGTAAAGGACAGTAAATGAATAAATATTTTATCATTCTTTTGATGAAATATGTTAAAGGGGATAACCTAAGTCAATTTTCTTTTCTTTTCCTTCTCTCTTCTTTAAGTTATAAAGCGCAAGTGGTTTTCTGTAGTACAGACAAATGATAAATAGAAATGAGGAATTGGCTTCAACAGATCAGACCATTCGTATTAATGATGTCTACTATCTTGACTCTGGCAGTGGACAGTTGGACACATATCATTGATGTAAATGAGAGGAAGTTATCCAGATAACCACTGTTATTACTGGGCATACACTTACCTCACAGCTTTAAAAATGCAGCCACAAAAAGCATTGCATAGTTATAACATAGTTATTTCCATCATAGCCTTCATTTTACTGCTACTAGATAAGCCACTAAGGTTAATTTAAGCTTCTTAAAAAAAAAAAATAAAGTAAGTTTTGATTTATCCAAAAGATATAATTGCAAGCACAAAAATGTCCATGAGTTTCTATGCCAGTCTGACCCTAGATTTGACCCACAACATGTCTATGTGTCATCTGTCCATGCAGTTGTGCTATAAATATCTCCTTCATATATGGTGTCATGAAAAGCTGACAACAAATTGCATCTGATGAAAACTGAAAGAGTGAAATATTTTGGATTTAAGCTCATGGGAATGAACTCACCAGGAGAAAAAGTGACACATTAAGGCACGACTACCTTCTTCCACAGCCTGAATGGAAAGAAATAGGCTGCAAGGGTGAGTATAAGGTTTAGGACTCTAACTAGTAACACAAATACTTCATTGAAAATGATCTACAGCCCTCAAGCTCTGGGAAACTTCTGTCATCACTGTATCAAATTGTCTGAAAGAAATTAATCCTGGCTTGGTTTATTAATATTTTAGATTGTTTTATTGCATGATAAGGAATACAAGACAAACTTTAATTACCTTACTTTTCCTCAGTCTAGGAAATATCTTTCTATGTGTGTCAAAATGTCATATTTGAATATTGTGTATAAATTGATTTCTTATGATAATATCAAATTATGTGAGTTTTCTGTCTTTCCTGATCTTCTGAGTTCAACTTGTCTGCAGTGACCTTAATAAAGTGTCTAAATATATCTTTCTAGATACAAAGATAAAATATGTATAAAATTTATTATTATTATTATTATTATTATTATTATTATTATTATTATTACTGCTATTGGCATTGTTATTGTTATTATTATTATTTCAGACTGGTGAATATTCCAATTGGATATGGAAAGAAATAATGCCATCACAGAGTTCAATATGTGGAAATGCCATTCCTATGACTGTTCATTTCCTCATATCCGTACACCAGTTCCTTGAACAGGAATCCTATGGTACAACAGCACCAATACCTCATTACAGTTTCTCAGTGCAGTAAAATGTCTTCAGATAAATCTCGTTCTGCTTGGATATGACATCATTCTCTAGTGATGGCAAAAATAATTCAAATAAAGTACTTGTCTTTGCAGAGACACTTGTTATGAAAAGTAAATTCCAATCAGATGTTTAAAGAGGGAAGACTGCCAAATATGCTTTTAGAGGACTGAAAATGTAATGGAGTCCAACCCTTTTGCCCAGGCTTCTTGTTTTGAGGTGTAAGTTGCTACAAGTTAAAGGTGAGTCTCTCCCCAGCTTTCCGTCATTACTCTCCAGACATTAGGTTGTGATGTGTCTGGGGAAGGGTTTCTCGCTTAGTATGTGTGCATGAAAGGACCAAACTGTTTTTTCACTAAGAAAGAACAGCTGAGGATCAAGAGGTGAGATTATGTAATTGTACTGAATAATGCAAATGCTCGTTTTCTGGAATATATTACTTGAAATAAAATACTTATGCCCCATATAGGTATTCTTTCCTAAGGAGCACACTGTAACAAGGATTTCATGTACACTGGCAATTAAATGAGGCCTGGGAACATTACTGGGCTCTGGAATTCAGATATACATATCCTGCGACATGTTTTTGGATAGCCTCTGACAATGACTTGTGCCAAACAGTGTGTCAAAAATTCTTTGGCTCAGTTCAGGAACTGGTAGGGGCCAGGGACCACTACCAATAGCCAGCTGAGATACATCCAACCCATCTTGACCTTTAGGAAGTGTACTGGATGTGGAGCTCTCTATGAGAGAAAAAATCACATTGAGAGAGAGAACAGTTGAGTTTGATTTAGTAATCTAGATGTGGCCACATAACAAAATTACATCAACTGGGAAAAAACATGCTAAACAGGATTTTAATTACCTACTTGAAACAGAATTTTTGGCAGGGGAGGATGGAATTAATGGATAATAAAATGAGACTTTTAAGAAAGTATATTTTAGTAGCCAACATATCTTTCAGTTTTTTAATTGCACTCAGGAGGTGTCTCTTTATTAAATGTTTAATTGCCCAGCATTAAGTGAAAGTCTGATTTTGCATAAAGTTGATGCTACTACTTAAGAAAAACGTATGCTACAGTATATGCAGTGATTACCAGTAGCAATGCAATCTTTTAAATTTTAGTATTGTCCCGCTGACTGTCAGTCTGTTTCTTTTATAATGCATAAGAAAATAAGAAAAGGAGAGATTACATGGGTAATGACAAACCTATCTAGCTATGTTCCACTATATCTATGTATATGAAATCCATTATCAACGACACAAATAATTTTGGAACTCTACACAGAGTCTAACTTACGAGTAAAGAACATTATTGTGAGGTACTCCCTCAACACACGGGCAATGAAACCAGGCCTATGCAAATAACAGTCTAACAACCTTGAGAGTCCATCCATCTCTTAAGCTGAAAGCAAGGATGTATAGATTAAAATTGAGGATGTAGGAAGGAAGGATGCAGACTGATATTCTAAATGCTCTTTTGAAAGGAATGAAGGGAAATTATTAAATTTCTCAAGGCACCAAACAATAAGTAGCAGCAACTTGATAGACTTCTATCTTTTATGCATAAAGATTTGAGTTCATCCTTTGTTGTTGATGATGGATTCCTATATATGTTTTTATGTAGTAATAATACAATATATGCTATATACATGAGCACGTATGAACATATAAATACATATCAATATTTATTTAGAATGAATCAGAGAAAGGTTAGGGTTTGAGGGATCTTAAAGATCATCTATTTCCAAATTCCTTCATTTGTTTCATGATGTTTCTGAAGAGATAATACTTGCTTTGGCAATTATACTGGTGTGACAATCATTGTTGCAGACTCCTGGAGGTTGTGTGAACAGCAGTTGCAGTGTTTTCACTCAGACACCAAATCCAATTAAAGTCACAGCTGGGAATTAGTTTGATATATTTTTTCTTTTCCTGTGTATTTGTATCTCACACAATGCAAGTGTGCATAATAAATGTACAAATGAGGTAGGCAAGAGAGGCATGGTTAGAGCTATTCTGGGTTTTTTTTTCCCATTTTAAGTTAAAGCAGGTGGTATGGGTCTAGAAATGCATACAATGAATTTTAGCTGCATGACAGAGTTTTCAGTTTAATCTATTTACAAAAATATATCTGTGCCAACTCCCTTACATGGTTACCACAAAATACTTCTTTAGCTCAATTTGTGAAAAATGTTCTAATTTTTATGCTCAGAAGATTGAAGTCATTAAGGAGTTAAGAGCTAACCATTAACAGTTTTGTCATTATACATTAAGTAAGAGGTCACACAGCCTTTCCTGACATTAAAATAAAATTGAATTGGAAAAATTGAAAATTGAATTTGCTGCCTCTACTTCCTCCCATTATTTATCATGGGCAGTTAGCAGGTAAAAATAAACCTACATGTTATGTCTAGAAATATCAAAAGATGGATCTCAAAGAACTAAGTACCAAGACGGTGGAAGTTATGTATTATTGTGTGGTAATGATGGGTTATTATACACATAGTGTAGTACAAAAGGTCTGTAAAGACAGATTATAAAATGAAAAGACATATTCAGTCTTTCTCTCTCTCCTCAAATAACCTTTAATAAATTGGTATCATATAGTGACTCCTAGCATAATTAACATGAATATTAGGAGTTGGCATAGATGGTTTTTTTCACAATATGAAATATCCAATTAAAACATAAAACACTGCAACTAAATACTTGCAGCTAAAAATTAAACAGAACAGCTGTTATGATGAAAAGTAATAGACATGTGAGCACTGCTTAATAATTATGTTCTTTGCATTTGGTTTATCTGTGCATATCATTGTTTCAGTCATCCTTAGTCCAGCTACATCTAGGAAACATTCAGTCTTCAAGTCAGAAAAGCTATAAGTGATTGCTGCAAGAATGATAATACTTTATGTTGTCTTCAAGAAAAGATGCATATGCCAGTTTTTATGAAACAAAAATGGCCTAACATGGATAAAATAAAATTACAGATAAAATCACAAATTTTGATAATCTCTGACAACTACAGATACTTGTGGATAATAAACATATTTAATATAGGAATCACTGGAAGTCAAACTAAATGCAAGTATCTCTGCCCCCAAACCACAAAGTTTTTCATATCTCTGAGTCTTTTTGCTAGAATGAGACAAACAAGGATTATATTACCTGTCTTGTCTATACTTGACAATCACTTAAGACAGTTAATCCATAGGCATTTTTCAGAAGTTACAATTTCAGTTATGCAGTTGGAAGTTAGAGGGAAAAGAACTGAGAGGTTTTATTTGATCAAATATCAGAGGACAGCCCAAAGGTGCAGAGGTATGGGCTCCTAAATCCTGCGTATTCACTTCCATTGAAATCACTGGAAGCTAAGTTTCATGGCTGTAGTTATGAGAAATACTGAAAAAAACCCTGTAATACTGGAGATAATTTTAAACCAATAAAGCTTTGGTAGCACCTGATTCTTCTTTCCCTTTAGTTTTGCCAGGGAAGATGTTCTATCCTTTAAAGAAGTTATTTTTAGAACAAAGGGTCCTGGGCTTCATTGTCATGAGTTTTAACCCTTATGTTCAAGGCATCCTCCATGATTTTTGGGTAAATTACTTAACTAACCATGTCTTTCCATTCAACATATAAATGGATCTAACAGAAATTTAAAAAAAATAATAATTTAACAATTTAAGCACACAGTAACTAAAAATTCCAAATCTTAAATTCCATGAAAGTGGAAGCTCTAAAGGCTGAGCTTTTTTTCTGATGCAAAAATTGTTTAGGTTTATTTTGTTTGAATCATTTGGATACAGAATATCTCCAACATTTATTCAAGAAAATATTTCTCTCTCTGTTTCTTCTTTTCCCATTTCACTCACTCCCAAAACACTATAGCAGCTGGAATGCATTTTTTTCCTAGTGGCACCACTGTTTCCTTGATTGCATCAACAGCTGCTCCTGATAATATAATTCAGAATTTTACAGAAAACTTGTAATTTCAAGTCTTCAATTGAACAAAATTCTTACTTGCACATTTGCAGCATATTTCTTGAATGTATGTAGGCTGTCTCACTACCAGACATTTAAAAGTTAACTTTAAGACAGTTATATCTAGATAAGTCACCCAAGGGATCCATTTATAGTCAATGGAGAGAAATTGGTACCTTCAAAGGGTGATTCATCTTTTCTATCTTAGGCATCTTTCTTAGGATGAGATTGGCCTCTGGAGGCCTCCATTTCATACCACTGGCTATAAAGACAGCTAAAGGTTAAAGCTGGGCAATTAACTTTTGGGTATCTAAGTGAGGTGCAATGAATTGCAAACATTTTATTTTACAGTTGTCCATAAAGATGATGCTTCCTGCCACCAAAATATTCCAGGACAAAAAGAGCCATGCATGTGTTGGTAACACATTGCTCCCCAAAAATTATATGTTCACCAAAAATTATATGAATGAATCTCAGATCCAGGGATCCAGGAATTATTTTGTTTTTAAGTCTAACTAAAAAAAAAGCCAAAAAAATTTTAAAAAAAATTGTTTAGGTATAATGTGTATGGGCATTGAAGATCTTTTGAAATCTCTGTTATTTACTTTGTCAGATAATACTGGGTGTATTGAAGGACAAAATGAAACAATAGGAAGGAAAGTGAATTGTCAGAGGGAAGAAAAGAAGTTCCTGAAGAAATAAAAATAAAACAGTTTTGACTCATTATAGATATATAAGTTACATGTCTTTTTGTGAGGGCAGATACATGCAGGAAGAAAACTGACATCAAAAGAAAGATGCACCTGAAGAAAGAACGGTGAAAGGAATGGATCTGAAACAGTTTACAGTCCCAGTGGCTGCAGATGAGATGCATTAAGTAGGTGGGCATAAAACAAGGCAGGGAGAGCATGTGTTGCTGAGACCAAAGCTGAACACTCTTCTGACTACTGCATTTCATGTTCTCAGACCAGAAGAGGTGAGGAATTCTTGCTAAGCTGAAATGCTTCATGATGGAATGTATCTTGTCAAAGTATTTGTAGATCCTTTCTATGCTCTTTTTATCTGTGTGATATGGTAAACTGGTACCATTACTCTCACTGAAAGTGAGCCTTCTCATTTTCCAGCAGAGACAGCATAGAATTCTATACTGGGATGAGAATAGTAACTTCTAGTTTCATAATAGAGATATAAGTTTTTAATTTTTAACAAAAAATGTAGGAGAAAACTGAAAGCCCTTCAAAACTCATTTTTTCATTCTTCATGATGTTTCAGTGTATTCAACATCAGGAGGTGTTTAAAGGCACATTGCATAGATGTCAGCTATTTTCCTTGTCATTAAAGTTGAGAGAGATTCAATATATGGTGGCTAACATCCCTAAGAATTTTCAAAATTATATTCTAAAGATAACAAATTCATTAGCTCACTTATAATTTTAGAGTTATATAACCTGGTCTTATAAATCTGACTGAAGAAGATTATGGGTTATCATGCTCCATGAAAGGCAAATGTTCACTTGCAACGCATGTAGGATTCCTGCTTTACTGAAATGGTTGGAATTTAAGATGCCATTAGCCAACTTGTTTAGTTTAAGCAACTCTACAATGGTGCCTTACCTCCAATTTACTCTGACAACCTCCCTGTATTCGTTCCAAGTGGCATGACCCTACTTCCATCTCCTGTGTATTTTCTGCTTACACTTGAGTAATGATAGGAGTTCATCCATGCAAGTCTCTTGCCTTCTTTGGTTTCTTCTTCATTGGGGTGCATCATTCTTGAGCCTGGAGGAAGTGATCTTCGAATTTCAACCAGGTCTCTTGGACCCCTCTTCCCAGAGAATCTGTTGCCATGGGATTCTTCCAAGATCCCTAAAGAGGCTAAGGTCATCTGTCCTGAAATCCATGGTTGCAATCTTACCTGTTGCCCTGCTTCTTCCCTTCCCATTGCTGAACTCCACAATCTCACTGTTACTGCAGCCAAGGCAGCCCCACAACCTTCACATCCCTGACAAGGCCTTCCCTGTTTGTCACTATGAGGCAACAACCACACCATTCCTTGTGGGATCCTCCACTGCCTCTGTCAGGAAGCTGTCAGCAATTTGCAGGAGCTTCCTGGACTGCTTCTGCCTCATTGTGTTACTTCTCCAGTAGATACCAGGGTAGTTACCTCCCAAGAATCTGTGCCGGTGACTTTGAGGCTGCTTCAAGCTGCCTGTAGAATGCCTCCCTTTTTTAACTTACTTTTTGATCTATTATGACAATGAGTCATTAAATACAATTACTATTTTACAAAGTCCCTTGCTAAACTTATTTTTATGCTTTAAATAGGAAGCTATTTGTTTATTATTAGCTGTTTAGGAAGGGTGTTTTGGCATCTAACTTTTGCCTTTATTTTCTAAATAGGTTACTTCTCAAAACTAAAGTAGTTGAGTCTTTGATGATCCTCCATTGAAATCACCCTTCATTTGAAACTTGTTTACTGAACTATGTGAAATGTTTTTAATACTAAATAGTAGTAATAAACATAATGCAATTGTGAGAATAATTTTGTTACTCTAATTTCTCTGCCTTTACAGCTTAAATTTTTGTTTCCATTAAAATCAAAAATTTAGATTCATTTCCATCAGCAAAGGTTTGTGGCTTTCTTTTGTATCTCATAATTTTGACCCTCAGAATGCCTTGCAGTGAACTATTAAAGAAAGACAGCTATTCCTTTCTGCAGAAGCAGAATGCCACACATTCCCTTTGTAGCTGTTTCCAAGGGAGTGAGTAGTTTGAAATTTTTTGGCCAAGTTACAATGAAGTGCCATAGGAGTGTTGACAGATGCAGGTTCATGTGCCAGCATCTGGCTCTGATTCACAGTGGGATGATATAAACTGGGAATAATGAGTAGTTGTTTTGTGTCTGTGGGATGGTATCAGGATTGTATGCTGATAACATCCCCTTTGGGAGAACAATGTCATTTCAGAGTTTGATAAAATAGACAGGTTTTGGGGTGGGGGGGGACAGTCATAGACAAGAATCCTGTTAAAACGGGATCAGTGGATGTCCTCTCATATTTTCTCATAGCTGAATAGAAGTTTAAAGAGGCAATATTTAACTCTAAATGACAGATAATGTTTATTGTAAGAAGTGTACTTTAATAAATTAGTTAGAAAACTTTCTAATAACTCAAAGTTAATTTTCATTTTCTCATACATGTATGTAAAATTATTGTTCATGAATTCTTTCCTTTCAAACTCTTTGAAAAGTATTGAAAACTCTCCTAGGATATTACTAGAGAAATAAATAGTACTTTAATTCAATCATTGCCATTTATGCCATCCCCAGAAACAAATGGCTTGGCAAAGGTTTCATAATGTGAGCAGATTTTTGATAAACTGATGGACAACTTACTGTCATCTCTGAAGAAGAATCCAGATGAGTCTTTTCAAATTTTAGGGTACAATATTTCCCTCAGCAGATAGTAAAAAAATAAAAAGTTTAAAAAATAATACTAGAAACATCTCACTGCCTCCCATATTTTTTTTTAGTATTTCTCTTAAACAAATATCTGGCTTGCTTGTTTTCTACTACTTGGGACAGGGCTATTGAGTAGCTCGCACCAGAAATCATCTCTCCATAGGAAAAAAAAATTAATATTCCTTTAGCATTTATCCTCAAATTTGAAAGCCCATAACTCAGTTGAAAATTTTTCATGCTGAATTTCTTCAAATAGCAAGCTAATAACATGCTTCCTTTTTTATTATGACTGATTTTTATTTATTTTTCTAATTGCACTTCATTAAATATATCCCCAGGGAAACTATGTACCAAAGTTGTCTCCATGTAAATGTAATGTAACAAGTTGAAATGTTACTCCCTGTCATTGAAATATCCACAACACATCCTCGTCTAATCAAGTAGGAGTGACACTTAAAAATAGTTCAAGAGCCTAAAGCGTTTTGCTATCTGAACAGTGGAGGGCAAGTGTTTAGTTCCAGTGCTACAGCCCACCCATGGCAAATACAGGCATTTTTACTTTCAAGATTAGTCTTTATTGTTCTAGGGGTTCTTTTTTGGTTTGTTGGTTGGTTGGTTGGTTGGTTGGTTGGTTGGTTGGGGTTTTTTTCACAGTAATATAGTCCATGATCTTTCAATATTGATGTACTTTTATACCAGTATCGCCAAATTTTTCGGATATTAAATGGCAAGTATCGTACTGATAGTCTTGAAAAGCCTCTTGCCATATTGTGTAATAACAGTAGTCCCTTCTCTTTAATAGAATATTTCTTGACAATGGAGAAGAAGTAAACTTTGGAAGAAAATTTTAGACATGAAGGATTTTCTGTCTACACTTTCCAGGACCAAGCAGTCTGTAAGATTTGCCATGGATACTCATCACAATTTGCCTTAATTTCTTAATTTCTTGACTCTTCATGTTTGTGGGTGGGGCAGGGGGAGTGGGGGTAGGTGTGTGTTTATGAGCATATGTGCAAAAGTTGAGACTTCAATAATTATATTATTGAGAAGGTGGGATGACTCTTTTACCCTATGGGATACTCTCTTTCAATGTACACGTGCCAGAAATCCTGATGAATTTCTCCAAGTCATATATTTTTTTCAACAGTATAAGATAAGTAAAATTGTCTACAACACACTGGTTTTCATATTGGCTTTGGGACTGGCTTTGAGACCCTGGCATGGGAATACACAGTAAACATAAGGATAAGTTGATGAAAGGAACTGATATGGCCACATTCCCTTGCAGTCTAGCTGTTATTGGACACAGCTGTGTAGTGGTACAAGCTCCATAGGGCAATCATGTGCTTCAGTGCTAAGGTTTTAGAAAGACTAAATTGTGATTAATACCACATCTGTGTTCCCATTGTCTTTGTTGTGAATTAAGCAACTGTAAAGATCATCCAGTAGTGAGTTGGGTGCACTGTGAAATGCAAGTGGTTGAACCAAAACCAGAACAGAGTAAAGCTATGCATGCAAAATAAACTTCTAAGTGTAAGAAGACAAGTGTTGTCTACTTGTGATGTGATTTTGTTTTCTTTATTAAAAAGAAAACAAAATTACATCACAAGTAGACAACATGACTGTGAGAAAAAAGTACATTTCATGACTAAATAACAAAGACATGCTTATCACTCCTAATTCAGCATGCACAACAATATGCTGAGCTGCCATGCAGAAAGACAGACGTGCAAGAATCCAGTTTTAGAAGTTGCAAGACAAAAAAGGCATTTCATCAGAACAGCTCCTTGATTTGCCAGACTAGTGACTGGCAAGCATTGCAGGGAAAGCAGAGGAAGAGGAGGAAAACAGGTTTATGGCACAGGGGGAATAAAATAGAATAGATCCAGTTAACTTAGAGAATCATGTGCTTGATGCTAAAAGAGTGACCAATTAGTGCTCCTGAAATCCCTCCACATGAGTGAGGATTTCAAAATCTCTAACATCAAAAAATTGTTATGAAAACAATTTAAAATTTTTACTAAAATAGAATCCTTTCTCCTACCAATATAAAATAAACTATGAATAAGAACATTTGAAATACTATTGAGGACAAAATACAGGAATATCAAACAAATTATCAAATACATGAAATAGACTATATTGATTAAACTATATGCCAGTGACCTTCTATGTAAAAAAAGCTGTCTTGAATCAGAGAAATGCCAGTAGAAAAATAAAGGTACCAGTCAGAGCTAATCTTAAATAATCAAACTTTCCACCTAAGGTTTTAATCCTTGTAAGGAAAACTTGGAAAACTAATCCTGAAAGAAATGCATATTAATTCTTCCTTCACAGACAGACAAAAGGAGTACAAAGCAGTTTGGGCAGAGTGATTTGGTAATGCTGAGACAACACTGCCTTGGCTGAGCAACTGTAGTCCAGGGAAAATAGGACAAGAAAATCTATGAAAGGTGGTTCAGCAGTTCCTCTGAGAAATTGCCACTTATCATGAGCATGTTAGACAGAAGGTAAAAAATATTTTAAGGCCCATTTCTCAAGAGATAAAATCAGAAAGCAGTTTTTTATACTGTATACAGTAGGCCTCAAGTGGTCTACCTATAAATGTATTAGTAGAACTCAACTGCTTCTACTGGTTGCAATCATGAGATTCATGGGAATGACTTCTGGATTAGAAAAAATGAGTTTATGGCTAAAACTCCACTGTTATCATTGTAAATAGCTGAGAGCCTCAAATACTTCTCTTTCATAAAAATTAAAATATATGTCTTAGAAGTTATTTAATATTGATACAATTATTGTGTTTGAAAGGAGGACATCCATGACATTTGTCAGTATTAACAACAAATACTAACCAGTGAAACAAGAAAACCAGCTAATACTGCATGAAGCATCTTGGCAAAAATTCTTCTTTATATGGCTTCCTTGAATTCCCTGTGTACATTTCATTCATTTTTTATAGCTAAGACTGCAGTGTCATGATGAAACTTTGAGCAGGTGGAGAATATTTCAGCTTCATTTGTTAAAATCAACATAAGAGCATTTACTGATCTCCAACAGATTGATGTGACTGACAAAATGCATTATCTCATATATTTTAAGAAGTGCATTTATTAATGAAACTTAAGGAACCGAGCTTTACTGTTAATTGTTTGAGCACTATACAATGCCATATTAAGTGAATTGCATTTCTAAAAAATCTTTCTTAAAATTTATAGAAAAAAACCCCTTAATCTTAGAATAATGTATATGATTTTTTATTACAGAAACATTACAAAAGTACTTTGTAAGAAAAAATGCTGAATGATATTACTAATAATGACATTATAAATTTTGCCTAAGGAATTAGAAATTGATGTTTAATGCAACCAATCACAGAAAATACCAATATGTCTATGCAAAGGAATTTTCTATGACAAATTTTTTTTCCTTCACAAATGGTAATGTTGAGATTGATAGAAATTATTCCTTGTTTGAAGGAATTGCACTGTCAAGGGGCCTGTAATTTAATTCCTCAGCTGATTTGCACTCAGAATTCTTTGTTTGGACAAAGTTCTTTACCATAAAATATATAGACAGATAAAAGGATAAAATATACCAGATTGTAAATCTAAATGGATATTAAGGTTATTAAAGGGTGTTTTCCCCACATTTACCTAATCAGTAAAATGAATTACAGTATTACTTCTGTTCACAAAAGGACAGTGTAAAATAACATTTTGCCTGAGAAAGACAGTAACAAATGAATCAAGTACTGTTTGGTGGCACTCTTCTGAATGATTTCCCTAAAACAAGGCTGATCATACCTGACCTCTACTTTGCTTCTCAGAAACACTGAGCAGTGTTTCTGGAGCCTGGATGTTCCAGCATTGCCTTTCACAGCTGGTGGGTTGACTAAAGCTCGTTTTGAAGGCAATGCTTTTTATTTCCCCTCCCACAAAAACGCATTTGGCTTCAGCACAACAACCATCTGCAGCATTTAACTTCAGGGCTCAACAAGTGACTTGAGAGGTCAAAACGCTGTCACTTTATAGGCAGAGCCCCAGGTGGACTTTGGGAGAGTACTAAGGGGTAGTCCTTTTCCACTTCACCTAAAAATTAGATTATTTAAGTTACTTTAAGATGTATTTCCACTTTTTGGAGCCTAAAACCTGTCACCCTGTTTTTTCATTCACTTGTAAGGCCACCTGATCTTTAATCTGTGGTTTCTTACCACAAGTCTGTCATAGCACACTGGTATGACACAAGACAAACATTGGAAGGGAAGAATCATGTCCTTTATCTTCTGAAATTCAAGTCACTACAGACTTCATTCTGTATTTCACTGCTCCCCTTCATGGTTTTCCCAGTTTCCTTGTAGCTGGAAAAGTCAAAACTAAAAAAAAGCAAACTGTCCCTTCCTACAGCATGTCTCCTCGGCCTCAGGAGTGGGTCACACAGGCCAGGGAGCCTCCTGGGAAAAAAGGGGTTTTTTGCTGCTGCTTGTAAATGTCAGTAGAACTGTAAAAAAGATCTTGAAGATCTCCATGAAAGTACTTCCTATGTGAATTGTTGATGGAACTGCTGTGTAAATCCAGAAGCTAGATCATTCACATTGGTACAGGGTGTTACTTTTTAAACCAAAGCATGATTGAGTCTCTGGGAGTTTTGGCTAATCATTCTCCCAGTCTGAGCCCAAAACAGTCCCTCTGTTTATAATTTATTGTCTTTAGAAGTCCTAGAGGAGATGCAGTATTTTGTTCTCTTTTAATGGAAGCCTCTCCATACTGAATCCCAAGCTTGTTTGTTTTCTCTCTACAAAAATCTGTGCCCTCCCTCTCCCCTTTGTGAGAGTCTTTCTTTCACGGCTACATCCTTAGGACTTCCCAGTTCTGGGCATGTCAAGAGAGGATGTAAGCCACAAGGCAGATATAAGAAAAAGACCAACCAATTCACAGGTGTACCAGTGGAGAGCTTGTTGAGCAAATAACGGAACAAACAAAGCTGGTAAGGTTTAGAGTGTCCTTAAATATTCTCTCCTTAACTTTTTTCATGAATATAATTGCTAGGGTTATGTCTCTTTACAGTATGTCTAGACTTCAGCAGGAAGACTATTTATTACATAAGGTCAGTGTCAACTGACTTAATATTATGAGATGATGCTCAGTCATCATCAGTAGCTCTAGCTGCTTTTTTTGGTGAGGAATTAAGTGTCTGTGTTAGAACAGATTAGCATGGAGATGTGGGAAGAGAGAAGATAAAGCACAGAAGTGGTGGATCAGCTAAGGTATTTTATATACTAACAATGGAAGTTCTATTTTTGAAGCATTTTGGAGTTAAGCCTTGCTATTTGTGGAGAAAAAAACCCAATAACCCAATAATAAGCTAATAACAATAAGCTCCTTCCTCTTGCGTCTCAGCCAAAAGAAGCATGGAAAATTTCAGCAATTTCTACAGCCTTCCATTGACTCTACTTTTAACATAACCTTGATTTTAATTCATGCATAGTAGACAGAAAATTAGAAGCTTTAAGAAAACAGCCATTAGCACTTATGCTTTATTAAAACTATTTGCACACTCTTTGTTGCTCTTGTGAGATTTTTCAATAATAAAACACCATACTTTTAATACATAAAGGAGCAAAAACTTGCAGGGAAACAGAATATTAGAACAGAGTTCAATGATATAGGAAAATACCTGGATAAAACTCCCCTTGTGCAAACATGTCAATCACATAGCGACAGAATGCATATTGATCTACCAGAGCAAAAAGGAAGAGAAGAGTAATGAAGAAAGTAAATTTAGAATGTAGTTTGTATTTAACAGTGAAGATAAAGTGTGGCAGTGCAAAGACATCTCAGTAGCCTTTTCATAAGTAGTCTTACTTATTATATATTTGTGTTTTTTTTCCTGACCTCAAACAGTTCACATTTAGAAAGTGACAATTTGTTGTCCAGGTCTAATTCATAACCTCTAACCAAGAACTGCAGAGCTTCCAGTGTTCCAGTGTCCCAGAGCTACTATCTCTTTTGCTGGGCCAGATTTTCGTGGCATATATCCTAACCCCATGCACAAGTACAAGGCAAACTGCTGCCTGGCTACAGGTCTCATAGACTTTTCATCATCCATGAAGATCAATTTCACAGACAGCTGATAAAAAAGATTTAGAAAAGGTTTTGTATCACTGTATTTTGTTAATATGTTTTTACCTGTATAATAAATATGTATATTTATTGGATGGTCATATAAAAAGACCTTTGTATACTTACACTCATATAGACACAAGATTTTCCACAGAATTCTACTGTTTCATTATAGAATAATTTTCCAAATCCTAATCTTTACAAATACATATGTATATGTTAATTTTTTGTGTATATATATATATATATATATATATATATATATATATATACTGCTGATTCCAGAAGTGTTGATTGTCTATTGATTTATCCTATACATAAGGAGAGCTGGAGAGCTTAATAAAAATTTCTAATATTAAGAATGGTGAGGAAAAGGTATCAGCTTTAACTGAGCACAAAATAATTTAAATATTGCTGTATTCTTCATCAGGCTAGAGAATACATCTTATTGTCCCAGTGGAGTCTAAGGGGCATTTTCTTTGAAAGCTAATGTTGATGTTTAAGTGCCAGCTCTGGTTAGCTAAGTTGTTTCCCAGTTGTCCTTGAGTGAAGCATATTCATCTGTCTGTCTAAGACTCTTCTAGCACAGTTCCTACACTGTAGAAGTTACATCTCTTCCTCTTTCCACCTCCTGTGGCATCTCTGTCCTACTCACTTGTTGGCCCCATTACCAACTCTACAATTAAATTATGCTGGCTTTCGAACAACTGTAGTTTTTAAAATGGCATTGCTCTTACATTTAAATGGTAACTGTAATTCCCCAGTATTTGACACTTGTTATATTATTGACTTTCATACATAGGTCACTGCTACATTAGTATCACTTGATGCTGAGACATTTATGTGACTGCTGCTCTGTTAGGTTGACTGACAGAGCAGTCCTAGGATGAAGAGCTACACCTTTCAAATCATTCTTTCCTACGCAGATGTGGAAATTAGGAAAAGGTTTACCAACTCAACAAATATCCAAATGTGTTTTCTAGTTGATAGAAGCCTAGGCAGATGATTTGTGTTAGTGAGATGGCAAGGGCAATACTAGTCAGAATTGTAGAGCCTGGGGCACAACTTTCAGTGTGTACTCAGGGCTGTGACAGTAAACTTTTCCCTTAAAACCTCTAATGAATATTCATAATAAATTTTCATAATAAACTTTAATATTTGGGAATTCAAATTTATCATTCTGGCTGACTCCAACTTTGCATTCCTTAAGGCCACAGTATATTCCCTAAGTCTATATGATAATTAAAAAAAAAACAAACCAAAAAACCCAGAGTGTGTGTGAGGAAACACATACAGATTTATTTTCTTAAGCCCACCTAAAGCTACTGAAACCAGTGAAAGCAAAGTGTTTGCACTGATTTTGACAAAGTGTTTGCAGTAGTGCCTCAGTGAGAATTGATAAATAAAATGGAGCAATGCCAACACTTTAGCCCAGAAAGCAAATGGCAGGGCATAGTTCTTGCTCAAAAAGCTGCTTTTCTTAGTTCTCTTTTGCCAAAACAAGCTGCCCCTACCCTTGCTGCCTGTTGGGAAGATTTCCTGGACCATCTGGACCATTGTACAAAATACTGCTAGAGGATACGGAACAAAACTATGGCAGGGGACAACACACTCTGTGGACAGTCCCAGAGCAGAGCACAAGCCTGGGCTGGTTCTGAGTTATGATATAGAAAAAGTCTGAAGCCCTGGAATCACACCATTTCTTTGATATTAAAATAATATATCATTTAAACTATTCTTCTGGTTTATTTGTGATTTATAGTAGTATAGACCACAAATAAACCGGACTGTGTGGCTGGTTTTGTTTATCTTGTTTTTTTTTGTTGTTGTGGGGATTTTTTTGTGGGTTTGTTTTGTGGAAATGTAATTTTAATAAACTTTTTAAAAAAGTCTTAATCTTGATTGTACCTCAGAAATAAGATTTTGTATTAATTTCTCCTCATATTATGTCTTTAGCAACTCTACTTAAAAAAAGGGATTTATAAAAGAAATTGAAGGCAGAATGTAAAACTCTCAATAACAAAAATATAACTTCCATATGGCATAGCAAGGTGCACTATAACATCCTATTTAAGTTCATAGGAATGCTACCAATCAATAAAGATTGAAACTAAGGAATTTTAAATGAATATGATTTTTCAAGTGCTTCTTCATGGCTAAAAATCCATTTTAATTTAAAGTCCTTTATTAAAAGGAGAATTTCACACTTATGACCTATAACTCTATAATGGTGGCACAAATATTCATATAAGTACTAAAAATCATGTCAAAAACTGGGTCTAGATTTTTTCTGTTAAAAATACTCATAGATGTTTTTGTCATTGGACTTAATGTGATTTACCAGTAAGATGACCTATCTTTTTCAATTTTATGAATGAATGATGCAAAAACTCTTTTGTGATCACTGCTGTATTTTTTACAGTTTCAGATAAGCTGGCATAACTACTCCCTTGAGCAAGTAAAAATTGCAGGATCAGGAAATCTCTGCAAAACTGCATTGATTTTAAAATTATGTTCACCATGGGTCACAATGGGACTGAAATATAAAATGAATTTTTTTAGAATATCCAGCTGAGCAGCAGTGGTTTATGGTGGGAAAAGGAAGCATGACAGTAGGAAATGCAGCTTTCACTATATGTGTGTAGCCCTGTCTCCAGTGATAAAGGCAGTTGAAGAGGCTCCTTCCTTCCTCCACTCCATCTGCTTATTCTCATTTTCACCTGCTGTGATTCCATGCACAGTCACTTGGTCACACTCTAAAGCAGACTTGCAAAGTGATCTGTTAATGTTTGATGTCAAGGTGGATCATTTTGCTAATATTTATCAGCTTAAGTTATTTGGAATCCCACAAAAAAAACCAATAAAAACCCTCCACTATTCTATTGGTCTCTGTAATCTTTGATCCCTACTTAAAATATTTTGTTGTTACCTGCACAGCAATTCTTTTTGAGACCTTTATCCTGAACAGTATGCAGCAGATCCCACTGTGCACTGAAACTCTGCCAGAGCAAACAAAAAATTGAAAGAGATTTTCACCTCCCAAGCAAACTGAACAATTTGCTGAACTTTGTCCTTGGTCACAGCAATCATTGTGATAGATGCTGCTTTGATTCCATGCCTCAAAGGTCTTAATATTTCAAGTGAAAGACAAAATTAACTGGAATACAAATAAATGTTAAAAAATACTAGTTCCACATACTACATGTGTCAGAAAGTGGGCTATGTCTCAAACTCTCTCACTTTTCTAGAAAATTATAATTTAGGCAACTCCTAAGGGGTCCAGAGCAATGGTTATGGTCTGAGAGAATCTGATCAGGCAGACCCAGATATCCAGTCAGGGATGACTTCTTTGATGTTCAGGCACAGCAATTTATCTGTGGTTAACAGCTGAAAGGATCAGATAGGTGCACTATGCAACGCTGAGCTGCCTCTTTCAATGCCAGAATAATCCCGTGGCTGCAGTGTGGCAGTTCCTACAGAGAGCCAGGCCCTGCTGCCTTCATTCATACAAAATTGTACTTAGTGCCATGGAAATGCCACAGGGAAATCAGGGAACCTGTCTGTGCAGCCTGGGAGTAGAAGAATCCAGGCTTACTCTGACAAAGTAGAGCATGTAGTTAACACTTTATTAACTATATGGTGTCAATGCATGTTGATCCTTTGTTTTATCACTTAATCTTTTCCTTACACTAGAGTAATAGCATTTCTTTCCTTTTTGGAAGAAATCTGGAAGCTGTTCACACTAAATTACATCAGGCAGGTATGTCACTATATTGTACAATGTACTATATTGTACAATTTTATTGACAGTGCCTCATAAAATATTATGCTAGATAAATTATTACATTCCTTTAACACTGTTACTACTTTCATTATGGCTGCAGAGGACATATGCAGATGTAGAAATAAACCTAAATTCACAATAGGTCATTGGACAGTCTGAATTTTCAAAAATAACTCTGCTTGCAATGTACTGCATTAGATGCTACTGAGCAAATCCATGAAGTTTCAGACCTATCTGAACAGAAATTGGTCCTTGGTAAAGAATTTAAATTAAAATGAAACTTTAGCCATGACAAACTTCTAGAACCGTCTGAATATATACATTAAACTTATTTTATTTTCTGTAATCATGTCCTAGCAGTGTGAGGTTCATGTGGAATTTATTTGTACTGCACTTTTGCTTTTCATGGGTGTACTTTGGTCCTTGACAGATTTAACTCCATTCTCTCTCCTTCTTCCCTACTACCTTTTTAGGATCTTCATCTGTTTCCTCCTCATTATGTTTACCTTTCTTGTCCGATTTAGTTACAGTCTGAAGAGCTTTCTCCTCCTTAACTTTCGTTTTGGCCTTTATTAGCCCAGTTTCTGTTGTTTTTGTCTCTGCCTGCTTGACCTTCTCTGCCGTCTTTGCTTCTCCTTTTCCATCCTTCACTTCCTTTTTAACTTTTGCTTCCACTTTAGTGCTCTTTACTTTCTTCTCCTCTGCAGGTAATAAAGAAAAAGCTTTCAGTGTCATTCTCTGCCCCCAACAGAACATTCAGTGCCATTTACTTTATACTGTGTTATTAATAATGAACATTTCTTCATTAATAAGAGCTTGGTAAGATCTGATGAAAACTATAATCCCCTCAAACCAGGCAGAATTAAACAGAAATATGAGATCCAAAGAGGTTTTATCTTCAGTGCTATGCCACAAACTTGGCTGATACTAAGTATAATAGAATATGGCAAATAATATTAAGTGTTTCTAATATGATAGTTTTTCTGGTATAAACTAGGGAGAAGGATGTTGGTCATTAAGCAAACAAATATGGGAGGTACTGTATGTACAAGTTTAGACTTCAGGGTTAAATTCTGTTGTAAACTGGGAAAATAGCATGTGGTTATTTTTAAGGGTTGCTTTCATGAATTGATTCTAGGTCTCAGTCCAGAAGTTTTGAGTTTTTGAGTCTGAACCTACACCGGTTCTTGGGGGTGAAAGTGTCTGAGACCAATTCGTGAGATGACCTTCAGCAGAGTGAGGAGGCTTCCAAGAAGAATTACCATTGATACTGTAAAATTAGTAACTGAAGCTACACAGAGCTTGATGAGATGCAAAGCATTCTTTCTGCTTTTATGTGTCAGCAACTTTTTCTCACCTGAGATATGCATGTGTGTTTCTAGTTCACCCCAGTGGAAAATCCAATAGTAGTATAAACTACCACTGGATATGTTTTAAATTACCATTTAGTGCAAAGTTCATATTCCTGTTTTCTTCATTGACCTAAATGTCTCCATCCTTGAGGCAAAACTTTTCTGCTACCAAATTATGTTTTCTGTAAGACTCTAGACTTCTATTTCTGCTGGATCACTGAGATAATTAAACTGATTTTATCAATATGTAAACTGGAATTTCTAACTATTGCATACCAGAATTCAGATATTTATATAAAAGCATTACTACTCCCAGACAAACCCGGGCATTGCTGGCTAATGGAGAATTAATTTCCTTAACTAGTTATAATGAAAATGTATGTCAGATCACTTGCAGGTAGGCTTAATTGTTTTTCACTGAAATGGTGGTTCATACTTTTATTCTCAATTTGAAATTTTAACAGATTTTAAAATGGAACAAACATATGATTAACTCCTGGTTGTTCTACAGACTTTATAATTGTGCTTATATATTTATTTCATTTTATTTTCATGCAGTTGATTTTTCACACACATTTACAATCTCTGCTTGAATAAAAGAAAATTTGTGCATTTCAATGTCAACTTATGTTAAAAAACTGTAGTACAGATAAATAGATACCTTTGGGAGGAGGTTTCTTTTCAGCTTTTTCATGTCTTTCAGGTACATCCTTTTGAGTTACTAGAAATAAAAACAACTGTATATTAGGGGAAAATCTCGCAAAGAACAAGAAAATATTGCCAAACCACAACATAACTACTGGAAATTTCACATTTCCTTGATTCCTGTTTTTCAGGAAATTGTTTTCAGATTCATATAGGAGGGTAAAAAATTCAAAATATCTGTTTAGGCCCCTTTACCAGAAGACAAATAAGTCACACAGATACGACGCTTCCTAGGGAATATTTTTACTACATATTCCAGATGAAACAAACTTGCTCACGTCAAGTGCCGAGCAGACATGGACTTGGCCTTGTGCTCCAGCCAACAGGAAGCCATGTGGCTGTATTTGTCTTACAGAAAGGTGTTTTTCTTAGCTTGGGCTCATTGTCAACAAACACAGCCATAAATCCGGTGTTCACTTGAGAGCCCAGCTTGAGTGAGTTCATGTCTACATAAGATACACTGTGCAAACACACACACAACTGTGTTTCAGAAAGGCTGTTAAATTTTATGCAGACCTCTATCTTTGCCCTCCTGGTCACCATCCAGACAGAACACTAGAACAAACCAGCCTTGAGAATTAATTACACTTCTTTCAGCTGATAACTACATAAGAGCAACATCCTCTCTAAATGAATTCCATCCTGGAATTCCAGCCTGTACGAGACACAATTGATACTTAGTCTTGGTTTTATTTTTTTAAGATGTTCTTAGATTATGTGTTTTTAAAAAAAACCCCTCATACCACTGAGGCTTTCTGGAGCCTTTATGAGAGTCTGAAGAATTACCTTGAGTCTTTATAATGAGCATAAAGAAAATCTGATGACTCAGTGGAAAGTAGCCATACAGTTTTCAGTATGTCCATTCCCCAGAGCTGACCAGAACCTAAATATTTTCATTCCTAGAGACTGCAAGAGGTTGAAACAGTCCCTCAGAACTGCTGGTAGCTAATCCAGTTTAGAGCAGACCCCTGAGAAAAGGGAGGTGGGCCTGGCAATGGAAAGTTCAGCAACACACTGCTGGCAGAAATGCATCTTTGGACATGCTGAGGAGAATTGTCCTGATGCCCCTATGCCATAGGGGCTCAAGGCAGGGAAACTACCCAAGAGAGGGCAGCATGGCTATGTCACACTGCAGCCACAAAGCTCCACAGCTGCCTTGTCCAAATTCTTCATAAAATTTTCCAGCCAGTGACTGGAGTCATGGCTGCTATTAAACACATTAAGGCTCTGAGTGATTATTTGGTTAGCTGGCAGAAGATAAATGGGTAAAGAGGCTGGCTGCTTATTAAGACTATCTCAGTGATTCTTGGAAGTTATTTGCTTTTTAAATCAACACAGACACTATGGGCATTTATTTTCTCTGGCTTACTTCCTCATGATTTCATTTTATGAAAAAAAATCCCACACTTTCAAGCTATACACTGAAAGTAGAAAAAAATGAACAATATCCCTGTAAAAGAGATATGAGACAATGGCTACCCTCCAAAGATTTCTAAGCTTTAAGTCTTCATTCTGCTTTATTTCTTTTTTTCTTCACTTTTATTTTCTGTTTTACATTGCTCCTATGATCAAGTCAAAAAAAGGGTGATTTGTATATTTGTATCCATATTGTCTGAACATATTCAAAGTAAACCTAGTTAATTCATGCATCTCAACATAATGGGATTAATCTCAACACCATAACAAACTGATATGAATATATGTTGCATATACGATTTCTTCAAGAGTCAACTGAGTAAAATAAAAAGACACAAAGACTGAAACTGAACTTCATTATAGAAATAATTTATATATTTCTCTGCCACAGAGAAATATCTAACCACAGAGAAAAACATTCAGATGCAAAGCAATGATAAATATAAGTCTTTAAAAGATGGCATAATAGGGCAAGGTGATTGGATTTTTAAATTCCCCTGTCCTAACCATAGCCAAACATGGGATTATCAGTCAAAAGAATAATGAAAATTACTCCTCACGCACCCATGACATTGCTTCAGAATATACATGATAATTATTAGATATGTAAATCCTAACCAAAGCCACTGCTGCCATAGAAGACAGTGCAAATCATATACTGAAATTAAATGTTATTGAAAAAAAAAAATAAAGGCAAGAAAATGAAAGTCTATTTTTGGATATGATGGAAGACCCAGACTGAGAGATAGCAAATACTCTTGTGCTAGGTCTACATCAGGTTGAAAACTAATACATAAGAAAAACCTTATTTGCAGGTAAATTACTAAATCCCTTTGTGGAGAAAAAGGCCTCAGGGAATGCAAAGAAAATAGTCATAGGTTTCATTCTTTAGATGCGTAAGAATTGTAATAAACTCTGTGCATCAGAACAGGAGAGTAAAGCAATGAAAAATATGCTGAGCAAGACTTCGGCTGATCAAGACCTACTCAAGCAAAAGAGACAACATCCAAAAAATGTTCAATATGAGCTAGAAGAGCTTTGTACTTAAAATACTTATCTCCACACTCTCCCAAGATTTCAAGTACTTAAATTGTACAACTCTCAATGATGATCCTCAATACCTTTAGACGGTGCTTTCTTTTCTTGTTTTTCTGGCTTTTCAGGTTTATCTTTGTGAACAGCTAGAAATAAAACAAATAATTTTAATGGTCAGTAAAAAAAAAGAGTTGCATTTAAATGAGAAAAATGATCAAGAAATGCAAGTAAGCACTACAGTTATGTATGCAAAGAATGAGAAAGATTGATTCTGCTGCTGCTGTTTGTTGTTGATGCCAAAACAAGGGATTGGAACTTTCAAAATCTCATCTGCCATCACTGAGGTTTTTGCCATTGGCTGGAGGAGTAGCCAGTGTATTCCCATGAAAGAAGATAGTCAAGAAGAGTCATACTTTTTTATATTGCGGGTTTTTTTTCTTTCTTTAATATATTTATATCCTCTAATTTATTGATTTATTTTGGTTTATTGTTATTTTTCAGCTTTCTCATTTATTACTTTGGTTAATTGCTGAAGGATTTTCTGAACTCCACAGAACAACTAACAGTTTTTCCAGCTATGAATGATTAAGCACTATAATTAATTACAAATCTAATTGCAGTGACATTATAACTAATGTTCTTTGGGGCTTTTTGTTTGCTTTTAATTTCCACCTTACAAATTGAAATTAACTAGGAACTCTGCAGTTCCTAGATTTCTGACTCATGTTTGAGAATACACCCAAGTTGTGCAGTAGTCACTGAGGGGTGGGTAATCTGAAATATTTTCCTGTGTGGGCTCTGATTTGGTAATTTTTGGAGATTAATGTGTGCACAAGAACTTGTCCATGGATGTACAGAACAGATATATGCATGGACTGATGTGCCCTGAGGTGACCTACAGGGTTCATGTGTGTGAAAACATGCAGTTCCCTATTTGAGTACGATGTATGAGATTATCCTGGGAACACAAAAATGCATTCATGAGCATGGAGCTGGTGTTTAAAAAGAAAGTAAGATTTGGGGAAGATAAAATAGTACTTGATACCTCTTCATTGCAAGTAACTATTGAAAGAATTAGTTCTGGCTTACTCCATGGCTATGCAATGGCCCTGTGCAGTATTTTATTTAAAATGCTTTTTTTTCCACATGGCCTTCCTGCTTACCTCTATGAAAGGGCTGTCAGGTGTCTTTTTCTGGGATGACCATAGCGTCTTAGCAACCATTCTTATTGCAAGTGTTGGAAATACTCAGTGATTATCATGAGATTATACTAATCGAGTGTACAAAATATATTATCTCCCTTCCCAGAAAAAAAACAAACCAACAAAAAAAATCAGAAGGAACATTAAATGTTACTGTGTAAGACTGCAAATTTTTTATTATTTAATTACTTTTATTAATAATATTACATAACAATTTTTTCTCCAATGAAAGGGGTACATAAATGGAAATTGAGTAGAGAATTAGCTTTTGGGTACCTCCTAATGTAAAATAAATTCTGACATTAAATAATTACCTGCATGCCTTTCCTTTTTTTCAGGTTTTTCTTGTCTTTCCGGTTTGTCTTTACTTGTCACTAGGAAAGAAAGAAGGCGTTATATGTATCCAAAAGAAAAAAAAAAAGTAGAAAAATTAAGAATTCAAAACAATTTCACCAAGATAAGCCTTAGGATGCTAAGTGGCAGAGTGTGTTACTGCTGAGCTGCCCCGTGCATATTTTTACAGTGTACCTCATACTACAGGCGTGTAAGCAGCCAGCTCTGGCTAACGAGTTACTGCCATGGTAACATGCCTCAGCTGTTTGCTGCATAACATCATCTCTTGCAATTGTCTGTCAATTCCTGCAGAATCCAAGAAAACTGTCTGTTACTAAGGCACAGCTCACAGTAAATGCTGCTGCCTGTGTTAGGAAGAGGGTTTCACCTTGGCCACCCCATACTCTGTCAGACAGAGGTTGTAAAACCCTGGAATCAGTCTCGGAGCATAAGAGAATCACATAAGTATACATCTGTGACTTGCCAGCTGGCTTGAAACGGGTAACCAGTAATGGATATGGATGGTTAGTAATGGATACTGATACAGTCATGGACACTAGCTGAGATCAGTCCCTGGCAATGATGGTCCCAGAACCATAATTAGATACCCAGTATGTGCGAAGTAAAACTAACATTATGACAGTGGAAACTGCATTATGCTATGCACTCGTTCACAGAACATTTTCCACTTGCTTTTATTAGGATTTTACACTGTAATATTCCAGAAAATGAAAAAGAAGCGTGCGAGTTTTAGAGCACTTCCGAAAGAACAGCTATGAAAATGGAAGGCTAGCTTAAGTCTAACTCCTGTGGAGATTTCATCCAAATTTAGTAAAACTCCTTTTCTCTAACATGAGGAGAAAAGAAAACTTTTTTACAGTACAAATTCCATTTGTAACTGGATGCAAAAGAAGAGTAGTAGGCAATATTCAGTCTTCTACATTTTTAAGCAATATAGTGATGAAATACATGAGAATATGGCTGACATCTCTGACCGAAACACTGCTAAGTGACTGAGACACTTCTATTTACTCTCTGTGTCATTAAATAACTTTCTTAAGGTTCATTCCAGAAGTTGATTATAGATTAGAATAGGATGCTATTTATATTCTCCATTATCTCGATCTTGAAAAGGCACTGTATTTAATGTAGACAATAAGCAGCAAAAATACAGGGATGCAGTCTCTAGTCTTCCAGTCACACTATAATGGAATGGACCTTAAAAAGACACACATTCATAGTCTTAGTTTTGAAATTTAATGTACAGTCTGAAAGTAATGTTTATTAGCACTGTGAATAGAGAGAATCTCTATACACAGTAGTGCTTCCATAGCAATTTTGACAATAGTTCACAAAATACAACTAATAGTTCACTTCAAGAAAAAACACCACTAGGTAGACAGAATATTAATAGGATTTATGGCAAGATAAGAAAGTATAATTGTAATTTTTTCCAGTGGCTTTCTGAGTTTGCCTGGGATAATTTTTTCCTTGTTCTAAGCAACTTAATAAAACAGTAAATATTGTTCTCCTGTGAAATCAAGTTGAAGAGTTCCACAGGTTCACACTATAACAGAAGTCTTAAAGATAAATTCATGTTTTAATATGGAACATTATTTCCTTTGCTTTGTCATTTTTCCAAACCACAGAAAAAATTTCCCATGTTATCACCATTCTGTTTTCTACTAATAAATATTCATTCTAATAGGCACCTCAATTTTTATGCTTGCCATTAACTTCTAAAATCAGTCTTATTAGCTCAAGGCACTTTGAATTACTTATATGAAATGGAAAAGCTCCAGTGAGAGAGAGTTAGAAAAGCCTAGTCAAGCACAGCTTTCAGGAGGTTCACCTTCACTTGTGTTCTTGGCCTGAATAAGTCTGCTCTGGCTGGATGTTGGGTCTTCTCTTTTCTTTTTTTGGTAACTTATGATCATTGGCCTGCTTTTTCTTCCATAATGTTTTTCTTCCTTCAGCCCAAGACTTCATTAGCCATAAGTCAGCACAAAAGTCATGTTCTCAGAAGAATTAAAAGTGTTTTGACAAGTAAGTGCACTCCACCAAAATTCCAATTTGCTAAGATATCCTCATGAAAGGAAATGGTGGCTTTTGTAACTGAGAGCTAACTCACGAGACTCATGAGCTGTGGGTGGAGAGTAAGCAGTATCCTGATTCTGACTCCTACAACAGATCTGTAATTTGTTGCTGGCATACAACACCAGGAAATTATAAATTTCTCTCTAAAACTGCTCCCCCGTGTCTCTGAAAATCTGGAGGAATTTATTTTTCTTTTTTTTTACTTTTTTTTTTTTTTTTTTTTNCAGATTTTCATAGCAGAATGTCTACAGGGACCATTTCCAGTATGTTATAATTTACTAATTACATTTTGGTGTGAAGCATTCTCAAGAGCAAATAATATGCTTGGATTTATTAAAGAATAAAAAGTACACCTATTTGTGTTCTAGGCCATTTTTTACATAACTTACTAGTACAGTAAAGACTTACTAATTAATATTTGAATATAATTTCAGCTTTTCTGTACATTGATGAATTCAAATTGTTTTAAAAACCTCATTCTCCTTCCAGCTGGCTTTCACAACACCTCCTCCATCTTTAAACATTATTGGGATTTACAAGAACAGTCTAAGAGTCAATAGATCAGACTATTTTGAATCATTGATAAAAAGGCAAGGAATATCAAAAGCTGAATACATACCCTTTGGGGGTTCCTTCCTCTCAATTTTTTCTTGTTTTTCAGGTTTGTCTCTGTGTATTGCTACAAATAATAAACAAATAAATAAACTCCAGTTCACAATAAATCTGTAATCTAGATGTATTAAGCACACTTATTATCTCATGAAAGTGATGAAGGAAAAGCATTCATAAACCCAAATAATGGATTTTAGCTCTGAGTCGGAGATACTTGATGATGTATAGATCTTTTGAATGTCCACATTTAATTCCAGGCCCAAGAGAAAAATTTTCCTTGAATAAACCTTCAGATATTAGACTAAATTTTTCTGAAAGTGATTATTCAGCAACCTCAATCTAATCTGTCCTTTCTCTTTTGGTCCCATTACACAACCACTCTGACTCTAAGATTTCTGACAGAGGAAATTATTTTCAGCCCTTGACAGCATTGCTTTCTATTCTTAACAAAAAACCGGCCAGCATACTGCTTTCTATGCTATTTTGTTCTTTATTTTTAGCTCTCACTTCCGTCACAGGATGGATTAACAAGAAAACATCTCTTTTAATCAGAGTGTAACCTCAGGAAGAGCAGCTGTTCAAAACACAGCCGACTCCATGCCCTGCAAGAGGCAGGCAAACACGAGTCCTTACAGACTCTCTTGCCCACATAGGTCTCAGATCATGTTATGAAGTGGTTCAATCCCACATGCTAATGATATTATTCTTAGTAAACCCATACTACTAAAAGACTAGCATTTTGTAATTTCAGGGAAATATTTATTTTTTGCTGTACCTAGGCTTCTGGGAAAAAGTAAAACAAATTCTGATTAGAAGACAGTGAGCATTATAAACAAGCACATTATGCTTTTGTATCCATTCCTTTCATCAGCTTTGCAGTGAATGCCATTTCACTTTTTTGTTGGCTGAGTGTTTACACATTAAAAAGCAGGTTGTAGTCATTAAGAAAAATCATTCAGAACATTTGGTAAATTCATTATGGTTTATATGTGCTTGGATTATCCAAAACTCATTTTCATCCACAACAAGTAAATTATTGTGATAACAAACAGCCGTACTGAGCAGAGATATTTCAAAAGACTGAGCAGAGATATTTCAAAGCCTTAAAGAATGTGGACAGCAAATTTACACTAAAAAAAACAGGCTGTGAAGGAAAGAGCAGCACCAGCAATGTATTATTGAAGGAATTACAGACTGCAAATCATTCAGATGCTTTAGCACATCTAGGAGCATACCAAGAAAAAATCATTCTCCCAGCTGAGTATTTTTTGCAGAAATTGTAGCGTGCTTTACATCTTGCATTTGTATTAGCAGATGCTGTCTCTTTGCAAAACACTTTTATCAGTTTTGGCTGGACCAACAGTAGAGTTTTGCAAACAATGGCTCTGTGATGGTCAATGTGAGTGAAACATGAGCTTCTGCACATTCAGACAAAAGCTCTTGTAGTCTTGATGCCAAAAAATACAGCTGAACTATACAGAACAAATTGATAATCAGAAAGTTTGCTTTTTTTTTTTTATCCACAGGGCATCTTACTTGTGTAAGAAGGATTATTGTGTACTTTAAAAATTTATTGTAGTTTTTCAATAATATTTCCTTATTTCATGATTTGAGAAAAACAACCACAAAACAACAACAGGAAAACAAACAAAAAAACCCCAAAAGAAATCAAAACAAACAAAACCCATACCCACACAGCAAACCCATAAAATGAGCCTTGAACAACACTAACTGAAGTAAATGTCAGTAGACCTGAAAGTGGACCAAAAATATCTAATTTAAATTTGTTTCACATCCTCAAAATTATGCAAACAGCAAAAATACAAGGAAGTACTAATATCTGTGTGGATTACAGTTTAAAACATGAAGAAGGGATCAGCTGGCCCATTCTTGAGAAAGAAAAGTAACTTGATGTATCTGGGCAGGGAGCCTGGAATGTGGATAAGCAGAGACCAGGCTGGCATAAGCATAAGCTATTTTTCTCTTCCCAATTATAGGCTGAAGGTGATCTCTGGTTAGTTTGAGAGCGTTATCCTGTGTGTTGATATCCCCAGAGACTCAGAGGTTGCTAATCTCAGATTGTAATGTTTATCATTACCCCTTATGGGCACTGTCAGAGCTACAGCTTCCCTTATTTGGGAAGGGCAGGTGCTGCCAAAATTCAAAGTATTCATGTTTCAGGGCTGTGATCACTGGCCATTTTTGACTCTTCAGTCACAAGACCAACAAAATGCACTGAAGGTTTTGTTCTAACAAGTCTAAATCTGATATTTCTTAACATATTAACTCTCCCCCGAAATATTTTCATGTTCAACTTCATATGTAGTTATAAAAGCTCTATAATACAAAATACATCACTGCCTACAGATCTTTTCCAGTTTTCCACTTGGATATATTTTTATTTTTCGAGGGCTTAATACATGCCCACAATTCTAGGTGCACGTATTCAATTTTAGAATTAGCTAGTCTGGCCATACTGCCATGTTTCTGTGAAAAAAAAAAAAAAAAAAAAGTTGATTTTAATTTTTAATACAAAAAAAAAAAAAAAAAAAAAAAAAAAAGGTAAAAAAGAGCACAAGCATATAAAAGTGTTTTTAAGGCTACTTACTCTTCAGCTGAAAAATGCTGAAATTAGAACTGTTCATTCAATTTGAATTCAACCATTTTATTAGCTTTATGCTATATTTAGTAATTAAAAGATCACCTCTTTTATTACTTTTCGTACTAGGATGTTGGTGACATCCATAAGAGAAAATAATAACTATACTTAAAAACCAAGTAGATTTATGACAATTGTGGAAGGTAAATTTTTTCCACAAATTAAAATAAATTTTCTTGGACTTCCTTGCAAATACCAAAAAGTCACAAACTCAGACTGAATTGTTATTAACATTGGAAAAAAAATAACACCTCAACCTAATTTACACTAACCTAGATTTTGGAAATTGCTGAAACATTTTTGCATGTCTTTGAATGAAAATTCAGCCTGAGGCAAAATGATGAACATGGGAAATCTCATCCTAAGTGACTGGAATGTGATAAATTTATAAATAATCTAAAATAGAAGCTTATAATGGAAAATTTTAAGGAAATTTAACAATGCATTCCAGACTTAATATTGCTATCTACTTCACAGAAAAATAAAAATAAGAATGTTGCTATCTACTTCACAGAAAAAATAGAAATAAGAAGCATTGCATATATATGGGAGGATTTTCCTAATTTCAATCATCATCACAGATTTTATTTTCATCAAATTGAAGACATAGTGAAAGGGGACATGATTTAGTTTTTCTTGTATAAAATTCTCCAACAAAGATATTCCACCTTCCAAAAAAGAAAGAGTGAGAAGAAGAGGTGTAGTAAGGCACTACTTCCGTACCTAAGAGAAGCAAAAATAGTTTCTAGCTGGGTAAGTCTTAAGTCTGCTGCTTAGTACAAAGCCAGGTGATGAGTGCAGTAAGCATGAAGCAGAGATTGCTTGCTCCAGCTAACAGACTAAGTGCTTGTCTGCAGAGCAGCACACTCAGGAAAGTTAAGATAAATGAACTAATACAATGAAGTTTGAGTGCATTAGTCAGAGCATTAAATCTCTGCCCAGATGCTTTCATTCGGAAGCAAAGCAACTTTAGAGGGCTACAACTTAATTCTTCCTAAAGGAACACTGAAAAAAAAGGGATTGGTCTGGAGAGGGGCATAGACTCCCAAGTCCAAATACATAATTTAAGGGAACTACAGCCATGTTGCCATCTGTACCATGTTCTCCAGTTTAAAGCTAATGCAGGTGTAGCTGTAGCTGTACCCTGAGAAATCAGGCTAGACAATTTGTCTGTGTACGAAATATGCCTCTAATTTATTAACTTGGAGAAATTATGTGGCGTTCTAGAATACTAGGATTTGTATGGTCTAGCTCTATTTGCATATTTAGCTGTCTCAAATACTTTGTCTTCCAGCTACAGCAAATTATCCATCATTACATTGTTTTCTTCCATGCCTCATTCCAACTGCAATGTATTAGTGAAGTGATTTTGGGAAAAGCCACACAGTAAATAAATGTTTTCCCATTCCTTCTCAATGCCTGTTTTAATTAGAGCTATCTCCCAGAAAGGCAGGGCAATTCATTTCACTGGTGACATCAGTTTTCCATCAAAATCAAAAATTGTCATTGGACCTTCCATTAGACAGAACTTTTGTATTTACATATACATAATCTTCACACTTTTTAGTATTGTTCTTACTTATTGTCAAAAAATGCATAATTAACTCTTATTGGTAGTAATAGTAATAACAATTATATTGCCTATTTCTTAAACAGGCTCCAGCAGTGACTCAGAGTCCTGCAAAATCTATCTAGATCACAATATCTAGATGCTCAGGACAGTTGTGTACAGAAAGATAATCAATCCCTTGTGCTGCTGCTGGCTGATGAAGCTCCTGGTCATGCAGTCCAGGTGCCACTCCACTTGTGAAATTACTAATACCTCAAAAACCAAATTGGAAAGACCTTAATTTGTAGTGAACTTGTACTTGTATGCACACGTTATCATGAAATAATTTGATTTCAGGGCTCTTAAGCATGACCAATAGCTTTGTGAAATTATTTCTCACAGTATTTTTTCTTTCCAGGATTAAATTTGTTACAATAATTGAAATGGACATTATTGCTAGTAGTTTATCAAAATATTTAATTAAAAACAAATTTTAGGGCATCAATTTGCCTGGTTCTCAATACCGTTTGAATCTTTTAATTTCAGTCACTTCCATCTGGGATTTTTCTTCATTATAACAGTTCCTCATATTTCACTTCAATCTTTCAAAAATTAGGCTTATAGATTGAACTCCCTTGCAAACTGTGGGACTTGTACTCAGAGGATTTGACTATTCAAAAAATATAATTAAATTACTTTTAAAATTCTAGTGTTCCCACATGTTGGGCAGAAGACAGAAAGTTTATTTTCCACTTCCTGCTATTAAAAATATTCATTTTACTTCTGGATTTTTTTCTGTTAAAAACAATAAAAGACTGCATTTGTACATATTTCCTGAAAAGTACTTTAGGAGGTAGCAGTAAAATTCCCTAAGGATTCACACCTTTATTACACTGTAGACAGAGTCCAGACAGAAAGTTTTCTTGTCATTGCTCCTCCTATGTGCACGTTGCATTGTTGGGATAAAATGTGAAAAAAAAATAGAGAAAAAAAATTGTGCTTCAGTAATTGATTGCGCAACTAGAGACTGCATTATCAGGCACATAAATAATGGAATTTAACTAATGACATCTGAACACTTTTTTTTCTGGCATCTTACAATTTCTTTGTAATAATTTCTGCAATGCTTATATTGTTTTGTGTAAAGAAATGCACTTTTGTATAGATGAAATGGTACACAAGAGGCTGTTTTGGTCAAGATTGCAACATCATTTGTGTTTTTAGATTACTTTGCTTGAAAACACCTTAACTGGGATCCTTGCTAATGGATCTGAGTTCATTATTGCCTGGCTTGCCCACTGGTAGCCTAAAAAATTCATTTTGATAAAACATGACTTATTAAGTAGGTGGGAAACAATTCTAGGCAGTCCAGATGACCCTGATTAGCACAAAACTGGAGCTGAAAAATACTATAAAAATATTTTACAGAGGTGTAAAATACTATAAAAGCACAATAATAATACATATAGAAATGAATATAATTGCATGAGGGAGGGTGTACATGTATACACAATTTTTTTAATAAGCCTCCTTCTTGCTTCCTCCTACCACTATCAAGCTGAGTACTGGTGTGTTAGAGGGATGCTCATGAAATTTTATGTGGCCCAGCCTTCATGGAGGAGCTCTGTTAGGCAAATAAAACCTTCAGATATCCCAGAAAACACTTTTTTTTATATGGCCTCTGAAAACCAGTCCAAACCAGTTCCTCTGTGCATTTTTGGAAAGTGCCAGTTATAGGAGATTAAACAGTCTGAAAAAGAGCAGGTTCTTAAAGTGGAAGCTTTTCTTATCTCTGATACACACCTGTCTCACTCTTAGCTATGACTTCCTAACTTGGATGGCACCCACTGGCCTATAAATTTGCTTTTTTCCTTGCCCAACACATTTCATGCCTTTTGCACCAGAGGAAGTTCATCAACACTCAACTTTCTTGCACCTTTGGTAGAAAAAAAGATTTCTGGAGAACTTTGGGCAAGAGAATCTTATTATGAATGTGCATTTTCAATCTAGCTACACAAGCATAAAATTACATTTTTTTTGTTAATGCTAAGGTATACATGAATTTTTGATCATTTGCAGTCTGTGCCAACTGATCTTTGAACGCTCCTATGATACAACAGCAGTAGTTAACCAAGTTAACAAATAAAAATTCTGTAGTTAACAAAGACACCGTATGTTACAGAAATATATGTGGGAAAACAGAAAAAACAGTTACCCTTCACTGGTGCTCGTTTTTCAGGTCTCTCTGTTTTCTGTTTTTGAATTTCTGAAGAAAAAAATGCAATGCAGATTTGTAAATATTTAAAAAGATTAAAATAATGTTTCACACACAAAAATATCAGATGCATTCTCATATTAAAAAAATAATTAAAAGTGCTTAAAATATTATGGCTGCACCATGGCTTTATCACCTGCATAGTCAGAGTAATATACAATATAGTTCAATGTTATATATATATATATATATATATATATATATATAGGCAATATATATTGATAAAAATCACAACATTAAGTATCTTTAATAATTATTCTGTTTTTAATTGAGCCATACAACTACTTTTAAAGGCAAGAATAGGTTTTGCTGATCTGGAGTAGCTATACAGTAACACATGTTGGTCATGATTCAGAAAAACATGATTTATTAAATATTTTTTGTATTTATCTTGAGTGGTTTACCAAGATTAGTATTCTATGTCTTCCAAATTACCTTTGGAAGGGAAAAAAAAATGTTCTTTTCACTACATCTTCTAAAAAATTTTAAAGCTTATATACTGAATTGGTATCTCCAACACACAATAAAGGTAGACTCAATGCTCTATACAAACTATGGAGACAAAAATTCCCAGGTTAGGGGTTGTGGTCTAGGAGAATGACTCACTTGATCATGCTGTACACCAAAAAACTGAGAACTGTGTTCTTAGAGGAAGAAGGGGTACAGTATTTATCTGCCCTTGTTATGCCATTCCTTTTGAATGAAATTTTTCAGCTGTAATATTAATATTAAATTGCTGCTATATACCTCTATATAAATCTTTTTCCTACTGTCCTTATTGTGTCAAAACCAGTATAATATAAAAAAAAAAAGGTAAAATGTTGAATTTTTGCAAAAGCAAACCAGAATTAAATCAAATGTGCATAGCCCTCTTTGCACACAGTTGTAGAAATTCAAAGAGTATTTATTATAGCTGTGTAATAAAGTCATTAGGACTATGCAGAGTGCCTGGGTTATCATATTGTGCACATGTTTCCTGCAGTAGGAAACTGCTCTAAAATGAAATTTGTATGAAATTTGTTTTTGACAAAAGCAAATGCAAATCTCTCTAGACTCTGTGGGAGATGCCTTCTTGTGTTTCAGTGTTACTTGTGGTCTGCAGGGTATAAATAGCAGGAACACTGACCCCAGAATTAATCCAACAGAGGAAAAGATATACATATTGCATCTCAGGTCTAAGAAGCTACTCTAATGCCTATTGAAGACAACTGAAATATTTCAGTTACAACATTAGTAATTTTCTCAGGATACACATGTCAAAGTAATCCAGTAGGAAATGGAATTTTCCCTCCCCAGATATTTACATAAGTCCTTGAAAATAATGCAGAATGTTTTTTTGTATAGTTTTTTGTATCTGAAATAATTATTGTGTGTGGTTTGCAAAAACATAACTATTCTATGACATCAGGCTATGTTGTCTTCAGATAGAATATTATTTCACTTTGATAAAGAGTTACAAAGGATAAAATATGTCACTGTTAACCACTAATGTATGGAAACATAACTAAGGTAATTATATGATGTCATTAGGCTAAAAGAAGTTTTTATTCACTTCTTATCTTGCTCTTTTCAGTCTGGGTGTGGAGTTCATTTATAGTTCTATGAACCTCAAAGGGTGAGAATAGGTAGAAATATACTCTACTGATTTACTGTATTTCATCTGAGCCCAGATTATTTTTCTTTCAAATGTGTGAGGGTATTTTATTTCTATTGGCTGAGAGAATCCTGTTGCTGGATTTTCAAACTTTTCCCACTTGTTTTGCTTAAATGGCTACATGGTCTAGTTTAGGTAGCATAAGTGGTAGGAATAGTTCAAGACAGGAATAGATGGAAGATTGCTCCCTAATTCTGGGCACATCTGAGCAGTTTTCCATGCCACTGTTCCAGACTGCCTCCAAACACTGACTCAGGGGATGCAAAGAAAGCTGAGTCACTTCCTCTGCATTGAAATATTCAGTGGAGACATATCTCACCCAGTTCAACCAGTCACCCTACATACAGAGATGAATATGAATAAATCATATTCTTCAGGCAGAGTCACATAGATACATATTCCTTTCTTGCTTTAAAATGTTTCACGCTGCTGCATTTCTACCATACATTACATATCTCACTACAGAAAACAGGCTTATTTTTCTTGAAAAAAATAAGAATAAATAAGAATAAATCTTTGTTATTTCAAAAATAAAAAAAGAAAAAGTTTTAAAATTACTTTTGATTTAGGGAAATTACTGCTAGTTTAACTGCAAAATATCCATGGACCAATGGCTCTAGAGCTGGTTATTTAAATCAGGTTCACACTATATCAGCAGTGGAGCTTGCTTCAAACAAATATTCCACCAAGTTGCACAAAAAGATACCTTTTTAGACAGCCACACTGAGAATCTCATCTAATTTTCTGCTACAATTAGAATACTCCACATCACAAAGAAACATACACAAATTCTTAGAAGTGAAGTACATTTTCTTAATGCACAAGTGTGTGTATATATGCTTTTACACACTGCAAAGTGTCCCAGTATTATGTCTTTTCACAAACTTCCCATTACAGCCTGAACCATCATAAAAATTGCAGCCTGGATGACATAGATTCTGACACATTATATCCCAAGCTTTCCCAGTAAAAATAAATCTAGTCTTAATTTAAGGTAAACTGAAATAATTTACAAAAGAAAAAATAGTAACTATTTGTTAACTTCAAAGTATTTAAAATCAGGAAACACATTAGATTATTGGAAACTTTTTGTTGTTGTTTTATGAGAGTTCTGATACTCTCTGCTTCATCTTTTATGACAAATAGCTTTAATTTTGTAGTAATCACATCATATCTTATTGCTGAGTTGACAAAGTGGTTGTAATATCATAGAAGACTTACATGGCCAGTTTAAAGCATGTAATTAATCTCTATCAATGTGACACATTGTTAATAAATCCTAAATATTACAAATTCATGTTTAGAAAAATGACAGAATCAAGCAGCAGCAAGGATAATCTTTGTCACCACAGCAACCCTTCGGATTCTTTATGAGATGACAGCACAGTTTATTAAATTATTGTAAGGGAGTATGTATTTTAAAAGCCATATTTCATTGTTTGTTTTCTTAAATTATTAGGCAGACATGAAAAATTACATTTCCCCTTGTATTGCTTGGGTTTTGAATAGATAATTATTTCCTTAAATATGGACACTGCTTGATGCTAATTTCTCTAGAGCTCAGGTCTTGTGCAGATATACAGAACATACAGAGTGATTATTTTAAAAAGGTCCAAGAAAGAAAGGTAGGAATCTTCTCAGTGACCATTTCTAGATGCTGAAAGGAGACACACTCAACTATATTGCTGTCAGGCTGATTTTTCTACATCCTGTTGATCCAAAACAGATCTTACCAGTCAGCTGAGGATCAGTATTGCAGGAAGCTTTACTGGAAGCCCCTCCTGAACAAGAGAGTCTGGGCAGCAGCTTCCCCACCCCTCACACAGCTCATTTTCATTAACAGCAGTTGACAGTGCCTAACCAGAGTACAGCACTGGCTGTGCACACTGGCTCCAAAAAGGTCAGGATGGGAGAAAATAATTTCAGTCCCTTGAATCTGTGTGAACTAATGGGTCGGTCCTGTGCAGGTTTACATCAGTGTGAATGAAGAGCACAGCCTCTCATGCTAGGGCATGAGGAGATTCTCCTGGCTCCTGGTTCCCTTCTTTGTCTGTCTTTGTGTTTCTGATTTTGATTTTTTGTTATGTCCTTTTTTATAACATAGTAAATTGGATAGTATTATCCTCAACTATTTTAATTTTATTGTGTTAGAATAGCATTTATGAACCTTAGCCTACATGAATTGCTTTAGGTACCACATGGAGCTATGACATGATATAAATATCTCTGTAACACAGGAGTTCAAACTTAGAGGGATGAATTTCTTCTCTTACTGGGAAAGCACAGCCTTGCATCTTGCTTCATTAGAGGATAAAATGGTGAGTAGCATTCTGGGATTGTTGAAATAGCACCTACATCTCACCCTTCACTGAGTTTTCATCTAACAGATGAAATATACCTTTAAAAAGATCCCCACAACCATATTAAAAATGTCCATGATACAAGAGACAAAGTGAGGAAAAAAAAGAGTCCCCATTTGAAACACAAGAATGCTTTACCCAAGGTAACCCAGAAAGTCAGCAAAAGAACTGGGGATTTACCAATGAACCTGACATTCAACATTACCATCCATGCTTAAAGCCAACCTGTTTCTACTTAAATACTGCAGTGAAGAAAGAATGTAGTTCTGATATATCTAGTGTTTTAAAGGAATAATTAAGCAGATGGAATTTTCTATGAAATGAGAATAGATTTTTTTCCTAAAAAACTTTACCAGCTGGTCATCTTTTTTATCAGCTGTTACAGGTAACACAGCCATATACACCTTCAGTACTTTGACATTCTGTTTACAAAAGAGATTACAAATATCTAAACATGAAAAGGAAAATTAGTCCAACTCAGAGTCTTATGAGCCAGAGGTTAATAATTTGCTTTTGAGCGGTTAAAATCCTTACAGCTATTGCCAGCAATTTAGTGAGGCTATATCCTTGCTAGTTTATCAGGACTAATTGGTAGCAGGCAGCTGATTATCCTGAAGAGTTGGTGGAAACAGATCCTGAGGGCAAGGCCAGGGTGAGTGGTGTTAAAAGCTTTAGAAGATGGGAGAGATGGAATTTCTAATGTGTTTTTAGATGCTGTCTGTGTGAAGAATTGTAGTCAACTTTCTTGCTGTTGTTATCCTCAGGAGAAATTTGCAATTGTGCAGCTGATGTCTATTTTTAATCTAGATAGTACCAGCTGGTGAGGGTGACAGTTATCCTTGCGGGGCTAGGAGGAGAAGAAAGGAAGCTGTGCATTCAAACAACTTCTATCTGACTACTAATACATCAAGGAGCTGTAGTCTACAGGCAAAAACACCCACAGGAAAACCAAAAAGCACCTTGCAAACGGAAAAGAA